TATATGCTACAGATTCAATTTCAGCACCTCAGTGATAGGTTATACTCTCATTGATTGAACTCTGTAGATATTGAAGTGTATACTTGTATACAGCTCAGTTCTTTGATATAGATCAGAAGCTGAATTATTCAAGAAATTCTGTGATGAAGCTCATATCAGAATGTATATTAAATGTCAGATATTATAGAGATCTGATACCAGATTGATAGAACTGTAGAGTAAATTCTGCTATGTATGCAATTGATTTCTCATCATTATTCATGAAATTGATGTTCTTCTCTATAGAAGTGAATGTAGAATGATAGTCATTTATTGAGAACTTCTTTAGAAGATTTCTTATAAAGAGAGATTGAAAAAATATCAATGAAGTTAAATCTCTATCAATCTTCATTTCTAGATAGCAGTTGAAATTCTCTACATTCTTGATCTTGTAATTAGCAGTGATTTCAGCTTTGACCCAGTTCAGATCTTCAATTTTCAGGCTGTAGAGATGAATATTATTCACATAGATAATTATATAGATCTGTCTTTTATTGTGAATAAATAGTTCAGTATTATAGAGACTGACACAGAAGTCTGAGTGTAATAGCATCTTTCACAGCTTTTTATATTATAAGAGTGCTGCTTGCTTAAGACTGTAGAGTCTCTGTATCAACTCATACACAAGATTATCATAATCTTTGCAGAATTCTGTGAATTGATTCATATATATTTATTCATCAGCAGGCAGTTGAGTGTTTGAAAAAGCAGTTATCATATCAATCTGCAGAACATATCATCCCCAGAATGCTGAGATTGTCATGAGAGCTTGTGAGATGAATGCAGAGATAATGAGTGTAAAAATTCTTGAGTAATTAACTTTCTTCTGTTAAAGATTTTCACAGACAACTCAGCAGACCTTATAGCAGATAACATCACTCATATTATTAAACTTTTTATCAAATACTCATTAATTACAGAGAACACTCATTTATAATATTCTCTTAATCAGTTATCAGACTTCTATCTGTTTTAAACAGTTGATCTCTTTAATACAGGTCTTGTAATAATATTTTCATTTCATAGAAGCTTTGACGCGTGTGAGGTTTTTTGAGATTGAAAGTGCAGTGATCTCAGAATCAGTGAATAGATCTTCAAGACTATCTCTCACTGAAGTGATATTTCTTGTAGATGTTGAAGAATCATTCAATTCAACTGTGAATTCTGAAGAGTTCAGTGTATTCTGCACTAAAAAGATAGATATTCTCACAGAGATTTCATAGTTAATTCATCAATTATTAGTGAGTATAAGAAATAATGAACACTCAGATTGAATTTTCTCATTAATGAACAGATTATCTATTGATAAATCAGAAATTACTGCAATCTCTTAACAGACTGCAGTGAGTAGGTCTGATGTCACTGAAGAAATCATCACAGCTGCTTTACAGACTGTATTGAGTAGAATCTTTGAGTTGTATGAAGTAGTTGATATCAATGAATTGACAAGATGAAGATTCTTCTGAAAGATAACATCTTTTAATATGTATAAACACTCATTGAAGAGGTTCATCAATCTATAATTAATAAAATCATCATAACTCACAAAAATCAACTTTTTGAAATGAGAAGCTATCTTATTGATGAGCTTGAGAACTATCTTTAAGAATGCTTTGCAACCTCATCAGTGAATGCTGTGTATAGAAGATAGAGCTTCAAGTCAGGCCTCATATAATATAATCAGCTTTGTATTTTCAGAGCTCTCATACAATATTATTGAGATTGATATAAGATTAAGCAGCTCTGTGACTGCAATAACTGTCTCATCTCACATCTTTTTCAGAGCTGAAGAGTCTATTAATAGTGATTGAGACTTCTCAATAATCAAATCAATCAATTGTTCAGATACTTCATCTTGCTGTGAAGTATAAGAGAAAGTCAGCTTTCATTTTATATCTTCACTAAGTATATATACTGCAACTGCATTTGAATTCAATTCTTTATAATCTGAGTGAATAATTGCAATATCACATCTCAGCAGATTCTTGATAAATTGATTGAAGATCTATAGATATCTCAACATCTCATTCTTGCATTTCAATAGAAATATTCATCTTATACAGATAGCATCATCTGTTATCATCATTGCAAGCTTCTTGTCAATGTAAGATAATATATCATTCTCAGTTTCAAGAGTCTCATCATCACTGAAGATATTCACTCAAATCTTCAAGACCTTGCAGGTGGCACAATGTGGTATGAAATTCTTGTAAAAAGCATGTTTCTGTTTAGTCTTAACACATGTGACACAGAATGATAATTTCTTCAGACTGATAATGATAATATTAAATCACAGATCTCTGATCATTTTTAATATACTATTTTCACTGATATGATCAAGTCAATGATATCACTTATCTATCAGAAGCTGTTTCAGAAGAACTGCAGATAATTAAGATGAAGATAAGATAATAAAGAAATCAGTATCTGAATTCTTAGAGTTAATTAACTATTCAATCTTCTCACAGCTGAAAGATCTCAAAGACTCAGTACTTGAATTATAATCTGTTGAGATTGTCTTTGATTTCAGAATGATCATATATATCATCACTTCATACATTGAGTCATTTATTATCTCATAAAATGTCAGTGAGCTGTCAGATAGAATGTAAATATTATTGTGAGACAGATTGATATAGAAGATATCACTGTTGATAGATAATAGAAACTTAAAGTAGTTTCCAGCATTAACTTGTATATTACAGTGAATATAGTTCTGACATTTCATAAGCTCAGCAGAGATCAGATTTATGAATAGTTCTGACATATAGTATACATAATTGAATTCTATCAATCTTTTACTCACTGAGATGAATGTAGTATCAACACTCTGAATCTTCATAATAATCTTATTAATCACTTGAACTGTTGAATTATTGATTACTATAAGTTCTGAAAATTGTGATCTATCACTCACTATGTGACATTCAGTATCACTATCTCATATCATGAGAGAATTCTTGTGAGGTTTCATAAAACAGGCTAATACATTGATAATCTCTGCAAGATTTATCATCTGATAGATGTCTGATTCATCTGTAATAAATAGTTAAATTCTACTCTCACTATTGTTCTTTTTCTTCTTTTTCTTGAATTTCTTTATTCTCACAGTATTGTTTATTCTTCAATTATTCAGAGCATTGTCTGAATTGATTAATTAACAGATGTCAAAGTGAGATCTCTCACATTCAGAATATGTAGATGAATTTTCTGATCTCTGATGATTTCAGAAGCTCTCTTAAGTACTATTATAATTATATTCAGTACAGTCTTCACAGGCTGAATTCAATGTATTATTGTTAGAATTGATAGATGTAGTGATTATTGTATCTGTTGTAGCAGTGTTGACTGCAGAATCTGTATTCTGTAGATTCTTTTTATCTTTTGAAGAATTAAGCTGTAAACAGATCTTCTTCATAAGAAGATCAATATTCAATATTATAGCTGTGAATTTGAAATTCTGTATCTTCTCTATCTTCTTCTGAACATAATTTCTTCAATTGTTGAATAGAACTGAGTAGAAGATATCAAATATTCACATATCTGAGAAGAAAGCATTCATCATCTTCAATTTTATAATAATGAACTGAAACTTATTAAAGAATGTGTGTAGATTGATGATCTGTGTATTATCAAGAGACATGAATTTCAGAACTATCTCACAGTGTAACTATGTTTTAAGAACAGAGTATTTCTGTTCAATTGCATTTCATAGAGTATAAGTAATCTGATTTTCATCATATTTGAAGAAATATAGTCTGACACCTGTATTCAAGAAGTTCAAGATGAATGTGTAGAGCTACTGATTTCTGACATCTCAGAATAATACTTATTTATCATCTTTTTATAGAGAGTTCTGAGTCTGTTATTTCTCTATTATATATTAACACTGTGTATCAATCAGTTTCAATTTCATGAAGATGCTTCATGTGATGTAATTGAATATATCAGTTAGACTGTTTAATCTCACAGTATTCTTAACATCTTTCTTAAATTAAGAGATTATCTTGTCAACACAGCTATTCAGTTTATAAAGATTGAATTTCAATCTTTCACTGAGATTAGAATTTCATGTGACTGTACAGACTGTTAATATAATAACAGAATAATTATTAACATTCTGTGATTAATCTGTAGAGAATCTCTGTTCACAGAGTTTTTTCAGTTATAGTTTAAGTTTTAGAACTCTTCACTTCTTCTTCTTTATCTCAAATATTATCTTGAGATGCTTTATCTGTTGATCTGATATTATCTCATCTGAACTGTTAACTTCATAAGAACCAGCTTTATCAAGCTATTAAGTAGATTAAAGAGATGACCTGACTGTGTTAGAAGCTGTATTCAAATCAGCTTCTCAAGAGAGTGTTTCAGAGTATTTATCAATAAAGCTTTTAAAAGCTTCAGAAGAATGTTCACTGACAGAGTATATAAGTATAAAGAATTATCATCATCAACTGCAACTGACTCAGTGAAAAGAATGTGAGATTGTGAACATGTATATAAGTGAGATTGTATTAAATCTGTCATCTTAATATTTATTCATTGAATTCTTGTCAATATTATTCTCTTTTCTTGCTTTTTTTTTTTTTGCAAATGTGATGTATTTTCTGCAAGTCTCTTTTTTAAGTGAGCAGTAGTATTTTTAATTATTAAGATCTTAAACACATCAATACTGATAGAATAAGACAATTTTAACTTCTGATAAATGTATTGAATGAAGCAGTAGTTTAATAATAATTATATTGACAAGAAATTCTGAATTGACAGTGATTTTGCATAAAATGAGTCTCATAACCTGTGAAAGGTGTAAAGCTTGTGTGATTGAAAGGTTGCTAGCTTGTGGAAAGTTATATGGTGGAAGGATTAGTAAGCCAGATCACGTGACCTGACAGATTGATTGTGGTTGGAGAAAATGTGGGGGACGCGTTGATTTATTTATGTCAGCTGACTGTAACATCGCGACCCGCTCTTTTTCCCGAGAGATTGCAATGTAACAACGGTACGGTACGGTACGGAGTACATAACATAAATTCCGCATCGCAGAAGCGCAGAAGCGTTGGAATATCAGACTATCACCATCACATCATCACAAAATAGAGTGCTGGGGTCTTCTTTCTTTCTCAGGTCCTCTTTTCTTTTCTTTTTCTTTTTCCCTTTCTTTTTTTTATCATTCTTCAACCAATTGGCAAGAATCAAGGCCGCTCGCGATTTTCCTTGATCATCGCTGTCCGCCATTTATTAGTTGCCCAATGGCCCGCTCAGATCTCAGCCAACAAGCTCCATCGCCTTCGTCCGTCTGGTCTCGCTGAGCCCTATCACAATAGTCCCGACGATCCTGCAGCCAGAGATTCCCTTTTCGACCTTGCAATTGGCAACTCCCCCGCTGTGCAAGTCTGCGACCTACCGCGTGGGCTGGCATCCTGTTTCCTCGCGCCACAGCATCAATCGTCGTCGTTTGACCAGTCCATATTCCTGTCCGAATCTGTATCGACTGCTGTTTAATATCCCCTAATCCATTGCTCCCGTGAGTCCCTGTTGCCACAATTGTTCTTGCAAATCAGGTCGCACTGGCGACTGCGGTGCGACCCCCAATGCGCTATGGGCAATCCCAACTGGCAACACAAACCCACGGAAATAAACCTCCCATCGTCGTCTGGGGAAAGATTGTCTGACCTTTTGCAGATACAGACTGAGATCTCGATACGATGGATATTGTATGAAACAGAAGGAACAAAACAAAAAGAAGGAAAACCCGTTCTGAAACTACGTCGCTATGGACGCCCGTCCGCATACCTCTTCGTCGTCCACGACGTCACCCGTGTTAACACAGCCTCCGCCGCTACAAGCACCACCTAAATTTTCCAGATATCGTTCCGTCCGGAAAGCTGCTGAGGCACAGGCAATTCAGAATGCAGCTGCGCAGTCCTTTCCAACTCCCTTGAGCCCGCCCCCGTTGCCTATGAGTTCCGAGATCGGTTCGCCGCCGCCGTTCTCTAAGACACAGAATGAATCGATCAAGCGCAGCATGTCTAGATACCGACACGCGAAACCTAGTGCAACCAAGACTGCCTATCCTGTCCCTTCCCCCTCGCCGCTTCCAGCTGCGGTGACATTACCTACCCGTCCACACACAGACGGAGACTGCATGCAAGACCTTCAGGCAAGGGAGCAACACGAGATTACCCCGAAGCAGCAGGGCGCGGGATCTACCAGGCTACAGGACCACTCGGACACGGCGCCTGCATCCGATGCGTCTTGCTCTCAGGGAGCTGTGCAGTCAACAAGTCAAAGTCATGACACCAAAGGCTCACATGGAGCGGGTCCCATAGATAACATCGCGGAAGATACAAAGCCACCCACTGGATATTTCTCTCTAGAAAGGCATAGTAGTATGTCCAGCATGGAAGACTCTCGACCCCGCCGATCACGTACGCATACTGATCCTGGGCGTGCAAACGTCCGCTCTCCCACGAGTGAATCGCATAATACCCCCGCCGTGCCTGGTAGACTACGCACCGTTCCTGAGCCAAGAATGCTAGACATTCGGGACCATGTGCAAAACATTACCAATGAAGAGCTCGCCGCGAATGAGAGAGCGGCTGCAGCGCATAATGGTTTGAAGTCGAAACCCCAACTAGTGAAAGTGAAAGGGGGCGGGTTCTTGTCACGGATGAAAGCCTTGGATCCTACTTCGAGCTCGAAACCTAACAACAACAGCAGCGGCGGCAACAGTCATCATAATAATAATCGAGAAAGATTAAAGACACTCATCTCTTCTCCACTACCAATCAGCCCTGACGAGGTCAAGGTGGCCTCTGGCAATGAAGCACCTATCTCTGCTGTCAATGCCGGCGAAAGAAAAGTCCTGGTAATTTGCAACGACTCCTTTATATGTCTCCCGTTTACCCCGACTACGCAGGCGCAGGATCTCCTAAATTCGGCGGCAAACTGTTTGTCAGAGAACATCGAGCCGCAATCTTCGATTCTCTTGGAATCTTTCAAGCAGCTCGGTCTAGAACGACCACTGCGAAAATACGAACACGTACGTGATGTCATGAATTCATGGGATAGCGATTCGCAGAACCATTTAATGGTGTCACGGCTGCCGGACCAGCGTGAGAGGGAGGGCCTCGATGTCAGATTGGCTCCGCGTAAGCAGCCCTCGGAATCTATATTCCACCTTTACCATTCTCAACGCCCGGGCAAGTGGGAAAGACGCTGGGTTACCCTGCGGTCAGATGGCCAGGTCACTATCGCGAAGAAGCAGGGTGGAGAGTCCATGAATATCTGCCATTTGTCTGACTTTGATGTCTACTCGCCTACCTCACTGGAGACGGTGAGAAGGGTCAAGGCTCCGAAACGGATATGTTTTGCAGTCAAGAGCCAGCAGAAATCTAGCATGTTCTTGACAACGGAGAATTTTGTGCATTATTTTGCCACCGATGATGAGCAAATAGGGTTGGGGTGGTATAAGGCGGTTCAGCAATGGCGGAGCTGGTACCTCGTGAATGTTCTGGGCGAAGGTGATAAGGAGGAAGATTCGATTAATTCGGATGCGAAATCTCCGCAGTCGGGAGCCCAGAAGTCGAGGTCACGTCAGGGTTCCGATGCCTCTATTCCCTATCAACTTGGAACATTCAAACCGCTTCTGGATATGGATATATCAAAGTGGAAAATCGAGCCTATCGACAACATCCCAGAGGAGGTTTCCAAGGAGCCATCCATATCAAAAGCTGCTTCCGTCCATGGTCGCCCAACGCGCCCTCAGAAACGACCCTCCACACCCGCAAAGAAATCCAAAAAGGAGCCCACCACCGAATCAGACCCCGACCCCTTTGTTTCTTCAGGCCTACTTGGTAAAACATACGCCCAACGCACAAAGGCTCTAGAGGAACGGGAAAAAGACGCTTCCCAACAAGCATTCACCGGCCTTGGCCTCCTCCGAAACCTAGCCACTGAAAGTCCCACTTCCCCCAGTGACCGCTCAAGTCGCCGAAACAGCCGCGACTACACGTCACCACAAATCCCCACAAGCCCCAAAGATAGCATCAATGGCGGCCCCTTCAGCAGATCCAAGTCCGTCAAGCAGAAACCCAAACCCCTCATCGACCTGACGCCCGTATTCCAAGAACCGCCCCAACACACGCGAAAGGGGCGAGGCGTTGCCGCGGAACACGGGCAACCGCTGGTCGAGGCAGCCACGAGCCCTGAAGTGCCGCCCGGTGCAATTGTAATTCCCAGCGCAACCACCTGGCGAAAACCAGTACAGTCACCTGCGACTTCTCACGGTGCTCCTCCCAATATCACCCGCGGCGGCGGAAGCATCCACCATACCCGCCCCACAACATCCCATGGCACCACCACCACTATCCGACGCCGTGAACGCGCCGCTACAGTTAACAGCAGCAGCTACAACAACGAGTCCATCCCGCCATTGCCCGTCACAGCCCCGGGACAATGCTACCCGAAAACCTCCAATCCAAACTCCAATCCAAATCTCAAGCCCCCACGCCCTAACCCACACATCCCCCTTCGCGCCTACAGGTCTCCTTGCCCGCGCTGCCACAACCGCCGCGGGCCCGCCGGGCCGGTATGACACCGGCCGCGGTGTGGCAACGGGCGATAGGAATAATTTCGCGAAGCCGATGGTGGATCTATCGCAGGAGAGTCAGTTTGTGGAGGGGAGTTTGTTGAGGGGGGTTGAGGCGGGAGAGGTTGTTGTTGGGAAGGGGCCTGTTGCTGGTGATCGGAAGTGAATTATGCAGCAGGGGCGGGGGTAGGTTAATAATATGACCCTTTCTTTTTTCCTAGGATTTAACTGGTTTGAAAGGGTCTGGTAGGTATGTTGAGGGTTGGGAATCTGGTTTGGGGAAATTTACGAGTTTGATTTCCTGTATTGTCTGTGGATGATTGATTGGCGATGTCATTGATTTACGAATGGGCCTCTTATATTGTTATTGGGAGGGAGGGTGTTTTCTTATCTGTTCTTCTACTTCTTGTGCTGCCCTACACCTTAGCAGCACAGCCTCCCTTCCACTTTTCGGAGCTTTTTTCTTCTTTTCTTCTTTTCTTTCCCTCGCCCTCTTGAAGGACGCGAAGGCTTTCTTTCTTCTTCTTCTTCTTCTTCTCCCTTTTCAACCATACAGGGTATCCATCCGTCACTGCACTTCTCGGGATTTATTATCTTAACATTACATAACTATATATTCTTCTTTTTTCTGTTCATTTTCTTCTCGCATCAAAAAAACAAACCTCTTATTTTTTTACCCTTGCTTCTTTCCCCTTCTCTTCGCTCTATATATGCACTACACTCTGCGAGGGAAGATTTGAGGTCCGGGGGAGGGGATTTGGCATGAGAAGAGCCTGAGCGGGCAACCAGGCGAATAATGAAATTTAAAATATACATATATCATCTCTACTAGATTTACCTGTGTCTGTTTTGTCATTTCAATGTCTACAGTACAAAAAAGTAATAAATAGTCACGTGATCAATTCACGACAATAGATCCATGGATCCGATCCTACACAGCAAAACATTCTCTTCTCCATCGCATCCCACAAGGGGACATCAAATAGTGAAAAGAAGAATCCAACCCCATCCAAGCCGCGTATATAACGCAGGCCCGTACGAGAACAAAGAGGTATACAACAGCGACGACAAATCAAGGTCATCAAGCCATTGTACATCATAAAACCACAGCCACCCTTTCAGCCTTCTCTATTTGATAGGAGGCGGCGTGGCATGGTTTTTTTTTTTTCAAAATTGTTTCAAAAATTCCCAGCCGATCCGAAGACCAACATGGAGCGGTCAGTAGTTGTAGTTTTCAACTAGCAAAAACGTTGCCTCAGGCGAACCTTCACTGGTAACGTAAAACCCGTGCACTTGGATGGGGAAGGAAAAGAGAGAGAAAAAAGAATTGTAAAAAGAGTTGGGGGACGACGAGGAGTATTTATAGGGTTGGGCGTGGGAGTCACGGGTGGCGCTAGTCGTAGCCGAGATTCAGGGCGGATGCTGATTGGCGGATTGTCGGATGTTAGTCAGCGGCTGGTCTGGTCATGTGATGTAATGTTTGTCTTGTTTGTATATGGAGTGGCGAATGTGTGGTAATAATGTACTATACATTACATATATACACAGGGAGGGGAGGCGGTGCGACCGACCAGAAGCGCATATGGAAGTTGCAAGATGGAGATTATTGTGTGACGGTTGTAATTACTAACGGACTCGCTCCTGCAGGGGTATCCATATATATATTTCCGAAAAGTATCCGCCTTTCCATGTCTGTCAACAGCCCAAGACATCTGATGTAGCCCTTGAAGGAGAGAAAACAAGATGTCAATAACTCCCTTTGCAATGAATAAATGAAAGGCAGAAAGAAGAAAAACAAGGAAAGTAACGTTATCCCATCACGAGCCCCCCGACTTCGCTTTGATCTCCTCCATCTGCGTCAGAATCACCTCCAACTCCCGCTCCCGCTCCTTCACCCTCCCGTTATCCTTATCCTTATCACCTCCCTCCTTCAATCTCTCAATCTCCTCCCTAATCTCCGTACTGTTTTTCCTCAACTCAAAATACCTCAAATACTCCCCCTTATCCCCGCCGAAACACACCCCGTACCCCTCACAATAACAAGTATACTCATCCGGACAATACTCCTCCACCCGCCCAAACACATACTGCCACAGATACTCCCACACCCGCCCGCTCAGCCGGTCATCCAGCGCCGTCGCCAACAACCAATTCCGAAACTCCACATAGCGCTCGCGCGGCACGGAGCGGATCCGGTCGGCGCTCACGGCAAACTGGCCGCAGCAGGGCTGCGAGAGGACGCGGGGGATGGGCGTTGTGGGGAACAGTTCGGTCCACGCTTGGCCCATCACGGCGGATTCGGGGATGTTTAGGATGTCGTCTTGGCTTTGGGTTTCGCCCGTGTCGCTGGCGCTGGCGCTTTGACCCGCCGTCGTCGTTTTGGTGGTGCCTTGGTCGGTTGGGATGGTGGGGTGGATGTGGTCCGGGCAGCCCGGGTTGTGGTGGCAGCGCAGGTTCATGTAGCCGTCGCGCAGGACCTTGGCGCTGCGGAGGCGTTGGACGGCTTGTGCGGAAGAGGAGGAGGAGAGAAAGTCGTTGTTGTGCCATGTGATGGCGTGGGCGTGCATGAAGATTGAGATGTCTGGGAGGGCGTGGTAGGTGTCTATTATGTAGGTTAGGTAGACCATGGCTTCGTGGCCCTTGTTGGCGGGGACGGTGAGGTAGGGGAATATGGTGGGGGTGGTGTTGTTTAGGGTGGTGGGATTGTCGACGACATAGATTGCGGTTGTGAGGGTGGGGTCTGCGGAGGAGAGGCTGGAGGCCCAAGTCGTGTCTTCTTCGAGCAGGGAGGCGATTACGAGGGTACGGGTGAGGTTGTGAGGCGTGGACGGTTCATCTTGAAGCCGTTTGGGGTCGGAGCTGGACGCTGGAGGAGGAGGAGGAGGAGGCGGAGGAGGGCGAGGTGGTGAAGAGGTAAGTTTCGGACTCTGTACAGACGAAGCCGGATAGGATGTATTTGGCGCGTGGAAGGAAAAAGGACCCTGGCTGCGATAGTAGAAGGCCAGCAGCAGGAGGAGGACGATGGCCAGCGTAAGGCTGACCAGCTGCCTGCGATTGGGATATGTGCATTGCATTGTGCAATGCCTCACTCACTCATGGTTGTATTGGGGGGAGGGAGGGGAGTGGTCAGGCCATAGCGGTAACTAGGTGATGAACTAATAGACAGAACAATGAGATGAAAAAAGGCCGTCAAAACACAAGCTTTGATGAAGCTGATGGGATGAGTCGTTGTCTCTCGCAACCGCCATTTTGTGTTTTGCCTCTTCTAACCGGCTGAATTGCCCTCTTCCACCTGCAGATCATGGGTTAGCCCTGGCTCCAGCTGTTCGGGTTTGGCACGGAAATCCGAGTGATGATAGCAAGGGGGAGGAAATGATGTTTATGCGAGGAGTTAACAACAATGCTTATGCCAGTAATATCCTTATTTTTCTTGATGCGTTTTGCTCTGGTGTCAGCTTCTACTGTTCGCAGTCCTACAGGCTACTTAACGCCGTTCCAGTCTTCTGTTTCTGATATACTTGAATAGCTATGAGAAATACATCAGGTAAAGCCTTCGTACACACATACATAAGCATTAGATGTATACTGGTGTCTCATCTGAAGCCTCATTCTTCCCCCCGCACTGTAGTCTGTGCCACACAACAAGCGCCCGCGCCTCAATGCGGCCTGAAACAATCGCCCACCTAGTTACACAGTAAGTTAGTTAAGTTACGCCTTATTACCAATGCGGCCGTGAAGGAACGCCAATTCACTTTTTTCATTTTTACGCCATGGTGAACACAAATATTTATCTTGTTGTCAGCCCAGTAAGGTGCAAAGCCTCATGATGATCACTGCCAGTCATTAATTCACACCAGCCAACAGTCAAACAATCCAACTGTCTGGCGCTTAGAACCCTGCATCTGATTGGCTTGTCAGCGGCGAATTTTGTTTGTTTCTCGAGCGCCAACTTTCTCCAGCTCCGATTGGCTGCCCCTGAAGAATTGCCCCTGTCAGAACGCGCGGGAACCGGTGGATGAACCATGGTTCCTAATCTCAGTAGCCACCACATGGGCCAATAATGAAGCGATGGTTTGGGAAGGAGTGGGGCCAAGCGGCGGCTAAAAGAGTTTATTCTTTTCCAAACATTGTTTCTTGTTGTTTGCAACTTGGCCGCGCGCGTTTGGGATTTGGTATTATTGGGATACAATGAAACACTGGAGAGCGACGCTGAGAAGGACGATGTTGTGTTCTTATTCTGTGAAATACGGAGTTGAAATCTGTCAACTTCGTATGTATCAAGAGTTCATCGTCTACTTGGCGCATGGGTGGGTTGCAGTGTTATGCAATTATGTTGGTTACCTCTCGCGTTGGTTTAGTCTACCAACAAATTCTCTCTGTTATCACAACTCTGCGGATGGAGAGTCCAGGACAAATATAGAGACGGCCGTCAGCCTTTGCTATGTTGATCAATTGATAATGATCCTTCAACTCTCCCTATCGTGCAAAAAAAATCAGCCCCAAAATTTACGAAACCCATTGAGTAATGACGACTTAGCGACTGGCAGCCTTTCTCGGCGTGCCTATGATAAGGCAGTCGGCCAGTGTGCCAGTGCCTTAACTTGTCTTGAGCCCGATTCCGACGGGAGTTTGAAGGGGCCAGAGGTTCTATCCTTGATGTTCGATTGGATGGCGGTGGGGTGGGGTTGGTATGGGGCGGGACAGATACTAACTGGATCCTGAAGGAAATAGATCAGGGGTGGTTTGTTTTAATATTCATTTTATCTGAAAATATCTGCCGTGAAAAGTTCGAATCGAACTGATTATCATAGTTAACTACTAGGCGGGAATTGATAATAAACAATGATGTAAAAAGGATGTGCATCTTCTCACCGTTTCACTATGGGGTATTTCTCTAGGTTTCGACTAGAGTAGGTAACTAACTATAAACTATCCAGCCATTTTTCTTCTAGATAATCTTCAGGCACAGGATAGTAAGATAGAGAGAAAACAGATGCATCCGCTCTCGCTAACTCCAAAAACTGTGTGGTCTGGGCGTGTTTCTGTTGTTGGCTTGCTTATCTTTCTGCGATGCGTCCACTGAAGCCCTGAATCTTTCGCCTGATTCTGTTTCTCTTCGTCTCTTCCATTCTCATTCTTCTTTTCTTCTTGATTCCCGCTGTGACACGGCAGTAAATTCCCTTGTTTCCCCAGTAATTGATATCCAATCCCGCCATCTGCTGTATGTGTCACTATCCTTGTGTTCCCTCCTTGCTATCTAATAGCGGAGTTGTCACACACTCCAACTCCGATCTGCGCGGGATAACATAAAAAGAAACAAGAAAACAGGGAACGAAAAAGTCCGTCCTTAGATCATCGACATGAGACGGATCCCCTTCTACTCCTCATCGTGCTTCTCTTTCCTCCACGCGGGGCTCCTAACCGCCTGTCTCTCTCCGCTCCTCTTCTCCAACCCCGTCCATGCGGCCAGCAGGAAGTGCTACCTCCCCAATGGCGATGTTGAAGAGGGTGACGCGCCTTGCTTCCCGCAGAACCCTGAATCCGCCTGCTGCGGCGGGAGCGAATATGTCTGCGCGACAAATAATATGTGCGCCCACTACAAAGGCGGCTACTATGTCATAGGCAGCTGTACAGATCCCACGTGGAACAATCCCGCGTGTCCTGGATATTGTTTCTTCCGTCCGTTCCTCCCGTTACCTCCTCCATATATCCATGTATATATATATATGGATATATAGATATGGATATAATATACATACATATCATCCTAAACTAATGTATATAAAACAGGCGACCACATCCACAACTCCGTCTACCGCTGCACAGACGATACATACTGCTGCCTCGACGGCCCAGAATGTAACTGCACCACCAACGCCAACACGCAAAAAATCTTTGACTTCCTCCCCTCCTATTCGTCCCTCGTCGGCTCCTCTGTCTCTCTCAACACCGCGGCTCAGACTACATCCCTATTCACCCCACCCGGCGCAACCCCGCCGCCAACAACGTCAACATCAGCGACTTCATCGGCCGAATCCACTGAATCGACCGCATCGACAACTACTACGGGCACGGAATCCAAATTCACTACTCCGACTAGATTAAGTTCAGGGTCTGGGACATCAGGGGTAAACCCTACTGGTGCCGTAGAGGGGGCTGCGGGCGGACCCACTCCCGCGCCGGAATTACCTATGAACCAATATAATGATAACGATATTGGTATGAAGATTGGGCTGGGCGTGGGTATTCCACTGGGAGTTATCGCAGTGCTTCTTGCTGCATTGGTATATCGCTTGTGGAAAAGGGGCGCTGGTGGGAATGTCAATGCTGGCCCTGGTTCTGTCCCTGGCGGTGCGGGATCTGGGTATGCTTCTGGATATACTTCAGACGCTGGTGCTGCCGCTGGCGCTGGCGGTATCGCTGGTTTCTTCAGTCGGATGTGGCGAAAGGACGACGTACGTATTTTTTGCGATAGTTACCTCTCTCTCGTTTCTAATTTCCCTTCTTTCACTCGATGCATCGCACATCGACAGGTTTCAACCTAGCTAAGAATACATAACGTAATATGTATAGCCAACAAGCCGCATTCCCATGCTCGCAAATACACCAGCAGCAGCCGAAGTGCCGGATACGTCCATGAACCAACCTATGAACGGCCACGGGTTCTCTCTAGCGTACGCCCACTATAAACCAGACGAGATAGCTATGTCGCAGACGCCCCGGCCCGTTCATGAGGTCCCTTGATGGTGCATTTCATTTTATTTTGTGATCGTGTTGAGATTTTTTTTTTTTTTTCTGGGGTGTATTATTAGAGGGATAAATAACTTTGAAATTTAAGAGTGGTTGGAATTGGTTTAAGCTAAACAAACCCCTGTGTTTTTCTACGCTGAAACAGCATGGTTGAGCGAGCTACTTCTCTTGTGAAGGAAAAAAAACATATATGTCGTCACTGTGATTCTATGCTTCCACCCACCCATTTTTCTTTTTCTTTTCTTTTCTTCCTATTTTCAATCTTCCTCATTCCCTTCTTCCCCGCTTTATCTCTGTGCAACAACAACAACAGCGGTAGCTGCACAGGAAGTGGAAACTCCGAATCCGCCGATTTAACAGATGCATATATACCAACGGGGATACCCACAGTTGGGCCTACCCGCTGTTATTTTTAGATATTGTTCCTTTTTTTTTTTTTTTTTTTTTTTTTTTTTTCTTTCGTCGTAGTTGAATTGCCGCGGCGAATGGAGGCGATCGATCATTTGTACTACGCGACGTACTATACATACTCATTCATCACTTCCTCTTTCCAGAGATTTTTTTTTGAAGTTCGAGTCCTTAGTTACCCTTCAATTGATAATTGCTCCTATAGCCTTTCCTATGACTTCTTTACCTTGCTTTTATCTGTTATATTTCCTCTAGTTTCTGGGAACTGTGCTGAATTTCCCAAGGAATTTCTCTCTCGATGTATGGTTTCTAGTGAGGCGGACGGATGCAGTGGTGCGGTTGAATGCCGCTCCTGGAGGAAACCCTTGCACTGCGTATTAAAATATCCCAACATTTGAAGACACACAGCTAGGCGGTAGGATTTTAATTCTACACCATGGTATGAAGTTGGTTCATTGTCGCATGACCTCATTTGGTCGGTCAGGAGTGAAATTAACCTTAGAATACGTGTATGGAGTACATGTGCACATTTTATCTGATGCATCTTAGAGACGCCATGATTAAAATTAGGAATTGGTTCAAAATATTAAGTAGATCTATCTATATATACCACGCCCTCCCGAGATGATACATGAAGCTTTGGTTATTTCGTTTCCGCTCATAACTTGACCCATCCTCCTTTCTTATCCTTCTAAGGCTCTACTCCTTTTTTGCCTTTACTGACAAATATAAGGAAGTAAAAGAATTATACGAGTAGCAATTTGGCTAAAGGGGAGCAGGAACAGATCTATTAAGTCGTTCCTATTAACTCGTTTTTAGCCACAAACGGTGTGTGAGATGAAAAAAATAAAAAAAGGAGAAAAGAACTCGAAAGCCAAAGTATGAGCGAACTTTTCCTAGTTAGGAATTGTTATTAACCCCACGTATTGTACGCTGATCATCATCGTTGTCGTCGCCATGTAGTTGAAAGTCATCTTCAATGAATAAATGAGCTACATCTGCATCGCTCGGCAGGGGCATGGGCGTGGCGCCGCCTCTCGGGGTAATAGAGCTGCGAGATGTGGTTCGGTCAGTACTGCTACGCTGCAGTATGGTCACGGCGCCGTGTCTTGGGGTATTTGAGCTGTGAGATGGGGTTCCGGCGGCATTGATACCCTGTAGTATGGCCACGGCGCTGCGTCTCAGGGTGTCAGGACCACAAGATGGTGTTCTGGTAGTATTACTATGCTGCAGAATGGTCACAGTGCCTACTATCGGGGTATTAGGGCCACGAGATGGGGTTCCGGCAGTATTACTACGCTGCAGTATGGCCATGGTGCCGCCTCTTGGGGCATTTGAGCCGCGAGATGGGGTTCCGGCAGTATTGCTACGCTGCAGAATGGTCACAGCGCCTCCTCTTGGGGTATTGGAGTCACGAGATGGGGTTCTGGCAGTATTTCTACGCTGCAGTATGGTCATGGAGCTGCCTCTTGGGGTATCTGAGCCGCGAGATGGGGTTCCGGCAGTATTGCTACGCTGCAGAATGGTCACAGCGCCTCCTCTCAGGGTATTAGAGCCATGAGTTGGGGTTCCGGTAGCATTGATACGCTGGAGCATGGTCACGGCATCACCTCTCGAGATATTTGACTCGCGAGATGGGGTTCCAGCAGCATCATCAGACCGTGTGTTGCCATCGTTGCTTCCAGGTGATGCGATGCATCGGAGGGCATACCGGAAGATCTCTTTAGGTTCATCATCGGAAAGGAAATACGTTGTATATTCTTTCTCAAAGTCTTCGGTTCCCTCGGCTTGCACCTTACGCTCTGGCCAGTTTTTCACTTTGACGAGAGCTGCAATGTGGAGTTTGGCAAGTTGGGATAGCCAAAACTGGTTGGCCTGTTCGAACTCTTTTTTAAAAGTTAGTCTTTCGCTGAAGTTGTCACTTTCCTCATCAGCGAAGGGTTTATCCCTCAGGATTGCTTCGTATCTATCCTGGTTATTTCCTTCATATCAAAAGTTAATATATAATAGTGAGATGAATAAGCATGAATAAAGGTAAACACTCTTACCAGCTTTGTCAGAGTTGAGTCTGAATTTGAGAACACGGTTCAAGAAGTCATTCAGAGAGAAATTCTCAAAGCGCTCCAAGTCTGTTGCAGCGTGGAGCTTTGAATGGAGGTACTGCACAGTTTCAACGAATTTATTGCCGGCAGGGGTGACAACTTGTAGGTCTTCCGCCTTGGCCCCAAGAACGCACACACGAACATCCGCGAACAGGTTTTCGAGGAACCGGTGGCTTTCGAAGTAGGGAGGTTTCGTTGTTTTGTCGAATTCAGATGCATTCCTAAGAGGAGGTGGCGGCTTTAAATGTGGCGAAGATGGCGTATACATGGGGAAAACTGAAAGAGAGAAAATTGGGGACGAAATGGAACAGGTTGGATCCGAAGATATTTTGCACTCACCAGGAGATATTGTGAACGAAAAGCAAGCAAGTCGATTGATTATACACGCCGGGCTGATTCATCTCGGAGTGACAACATTCCAAGAAGAAAAGAGAGGAAAGCATAAGAGAAATGAATTCGTGCGTATCTTATATCCTCCTATTGCAGAGAAAAATGTGGTGAAATGATCAGGAATACTCCGCATCACGGCCTGGAGCGAAAGTTCAAAAGCTGAAGGACAACAGGATACTCCTGGTATTCACCGTGGTGCGTAAATCTTGAGAATTCCAACTCCTCTCGCATGTTTTCGGGCGGTGAAATCAGAGTAATGGAGAGTAATATTCCCCCACCGAGTGGAATTATCCAGAATCGTAGTGACACTGGGTTTCCATATGCGACGAAGGCCATTGGCGGTTGGATTTGTGACGGGAACTCTTTACGGGTTGAAGTTGGCGGGACGATAGAGAGCTAAAGCACCTTTCTCTCAGGCATAACCCGCAAGTTCCCGATCTTCGAATATCTTTCAAAGGTATATATAGATAAGTACTCCGTAGAATTAGTGGAATGATCCATGAGAGATGGAAAACCAGTCGGGAAATTTTAGTAGGGAGGAAACAGGGCGCAAGCCGAACGCTTCGACTTCTCCATTTCAACAACAGAGAAGAAAGAAAGGATTTTGTTTCTTCTGTAGCCCAACATACAACGGCTACGCACGTAAATTGCTTTTCTGTCATCGAACAATGAATCCTGTTTGGTTGCAAAGATAGAACTCCTGTGCTGCGCCAAAAGTGTGAAAGTTTCTCGAAAAATTTGCTGTGGCACCGCCAATCTGAGTTGCGAAGAAAGATTCAAACTTGCAACGCTGTCCTCCGTACCTGGAAGAGAATGTAGAATCCCGCTACCCGTCTGGTCACGATGAAAAGGACATCTGCACTGCAGTCGGGTTACTCGCATGGAGAGTCCGAATTCCTGGCATGATCCTAAGGATAGCGCTATTCATCATCACCACGCCCTTCACACATTTATGTAATGCCAGTTCCTGTGTGTAAATTCCTTCATAACCGCTTTGGCTGGCGTTTCTCGATGACGCATGTTGTTTCTCCGGCACGATTTGACGATTGCGCACACCGGAACCGTGGTAGAGTCATTCCCTTCCATCTTCGACAGCCCTCATTCGCAGGCCTTGAGAAAACAGAAACACTGGGTTATGTGTGGATGTTTTCTTTGGAAAGAAGTGAGTGGCTTGTGCCAACATGACAAACATCGAACCTAAATCCGCATATTAGATCGACAAAGGGGCTCTTGGTGTGGACTGTAAAGGAAGAAAGTTCGTATTTCATTGTTTTCGTAGTCTCAGGCACACTGTTATCCGCCCATCTCTGCATCTTTGTGGCGTATCTGGACCAAATTGATAGTAGTGGGGAGAAGTCAACTGTGGAACGAAATAGTGGCTGCCCAACTTAGTTAACTAGCTTGGCATATATATTTTGGACAAGATCCATTCGTCAGGTAGCTCCACGAACTGTTGCGACGTTTACATACGTACAGTCCCGTATATCACACAAGATCCATTCCCATTCCAAGTCCTGACAATGGTCGTCGTTGGTGATGCTGCTTTTTGCTCAGGGATGACGACATCACGTGATTATTTTTCCACTTTTGGATGCTGGCTCAAGGGCACCATGTGTCTCGCAGGCCAGGAGTTTAGCAAATGCTCAACAAGGTGGTGCTTCATTTCCTGAGTTGCTGGCTAGCTGCGTGCCAACCCATTGTTGAACTTCAGCTGCAGGAGCATGATATCTACTACTACTGTGTCACCCGAATTTGATATTCAGGGTGCCTACAGTTGCACTTATATACTTCCACAGCTACAAGTACCAAGCGACCTTGCCTTTCTCATTCAGCCGGCCCAATGAAGGGAACAAGCGAATTTAACAGGGGCTATATCGCCCATTTGAGTGGGTATAAGGATGGATCTACCAGAATACGTTGAACTTTTAACTTCAGATTAAGTCTTAGTCATATTCGTGATGGGTTTGGCGCTCTTCCGCGAAGCCTAAAGATGGAGTGACGCCTATATATTTTGTTGTCCGCTGATAGGCTAATAATGTACCCAGTTCTTACACCTAGAGGTGTTTTGGGAAAATACTCCCTTGGAGAGACTGCCTTAGCGTGTCACGATCGTGACAAGCCAGGTCATCGTGGGTGAAAACCATTTTCTACCTGAGGTTAAGCCTCATAGTTGAGTTGAAAATCAGGGATAATGTCCAGAAGTCTGAGGGTCCAAGCTGAAAATTTGGACGATGCGACAAATAGCTATCGTATAGTTATGCCTTTCGAGACCTGCAAAAAATATTGATATTCATAATCACGACATCTACCAAGCAGGCTCATTCAATATTGTTGGGGGTCCCGCGGTTGATCGGCCCTTCTACCAGCAGTGCGCTGGTGGTGATTGAGCTCTTTTGTCCCAGTAGCCTACAGGTTATGAGCCTGGTAAGTGTGAGCCCTGCTGTGATCAACATGCATGAGTTCAATCCCAGAATGGACTTAAAAATTCCAAACAAATACCCTGGACATTTAACAGTGTCAAGAGACATCCTAGGAGTGTGCCCTAGAAGTCCCTTGAGCCCTAGGACTGAGTCCACTGAGAGGAGCCACTATGAGGAGCCACTGAAGGGAGCCACTGAGAGGAGTACTGTACTTTGTGATAGCTGGTCTGAGGGGGGGTGTTGGGGGTCCTGTGGTTGATCGGCCCTTCTACCAGCAGTGCGCTGGTGGTGATTGAGCTCTTTTGCCCCAGTAGCCTACAAATATTTATTTGGCTTTTCACAAGCACACCTTGCATTACTTGAAACTCGCATGGGGCTTGTAAAATCGTACATGCCTATAAATGGAGCACGAAATATAGTCCTGGTGATAAATCACAGAGCAAAAAACCGAAGGAAGCTACCGCAATCGCATCACTGTCGGTTATTAGCAATTTGCAGCTCTTTCCGGCGTATATGTGGCCCAGGTGTAATACCGGGACAAGGTATCAAAGAAAACAAAGTAGAATGTGAACAAATTCTCCTCAAAGTTTGCTACCCTATGCTATGGCTAAAAATGGTTGATAATCTGATATGACTCAAGATATATGAACCACTGCTGCCAATATAAAAGAAGAATGCTTGTCTTCAATTCTTCACCTTTTGTCAATCTCATCCCCTCTGCCTGTATAATACTCCAACCTTCAACCTCAACATATAAAATTTCCTCAAGATAGATGGTTCTGAGCATGAGTAGACAGGGAGAAGAGGGAGGCCTACTGTGTATGATATTTTGCATAAAGAGGCTGAAAGAGCTGATTGAAGTGAAGTAGAAGATGTGTGTGAAGAGTTACAGGCAGCTGAGTGTAGAATGACTAGATATTGACAAATATGAGATAATGGTGATTGATTGTGTCATTATCTGAGAGCCTTGAATCTACTTTGAGAGAGAGAGAGTGTGTGTGTGTGTGTGAGAGAGAACTAGCTTGAAAATTCAAATGTTTTGTTTGCATGAATTCTATATCTCAAATATTCAGACAGAGTAACTATGCTATAGAAAACTACTTTGAAAAATAAATTGAGCAACACAATTTAAATCCACAAATGAGATTGATAGAGCAGTTTGTATCGACCATGTTTATCTCCAGTTAAATGATAGAATCTAGATGAATAGTGTGACTGTGATGTTGACTTTTATACTCTGTTTCCATTCATGAATAATTCAATCAATCAGACTTTGATAGCTTCAAAAATCAAAACTTTGCAAGCTCAGATAACACTCAATGTGAGAGAGGTTGAAGAATTCTGCACCTGTTTTGTTTTGCTATTGAGCTTGATATTGGATTTGTCTTGCCTTCCTTGCAAGCATTCTCAGTTTCATAAAAGCACTGCAAGTGCTTCCATCCAGCGTATATGAAATGTATTAAAGTATGCACAATGTGGGACTCAGACTACTGAAGGTATATAAATTTGCAAGCTGCAAGGTTTGATCCTCTAAGAAGAGAGTAAAATAGAGGAGGAAAAAAAGAGTGATTTCACGCAGGCAAGCTCATGCCCTCGAATTTATATAAATTAGCTGCCTGCCGCCTGTATAAGGGAGTTAATTATCCAAAATAACTAATTGTGCTTGAGCTGGCGCCGGGGATATGGTCATCACCTCAACGGAGGGAGTAAGTGATTAATGCTGATTTATTTAGGGAGTATATACTCTGTATATCCGGACCGAAAGCCGCCCATACAATCAATTGCTTCATCAGACATCAATGGTTGATATCATCGGGCAGGCTTTGTTCGGAAGAACTTTTTTTTTCCCTTTTTCCGTTATTTGGAGGGAAAAAGCCGGTAGAGAATGAGACAATTTTCGATGCATGGGGCGACCGGGGATGATGGCTGAGGGTCGCTAATAAGGGTCCACCGATGAAAGAATACTGCGTGCGCCCAAGGACTGGGTTGTTCGTTCACTTGCAATTAATAAATAAGAAGAGTGGGGAGAGGCATTTTTTGACTGTGGTGCTCGGTGAAGCCTGCAGGAGATAAAGGCAGAGAATGGCCCCGCAGATTTGAGGCAATAATAATGTTCAAGAGAGAGCTTTGGGATACGGATAGATGTTGTGAATGTGTTGAATGTTGATGAGCCTGACTTTTTCATTTCTTTTCTTCCTTCCTTCATTCCTTTCTTTCTTTCTTTCTTTCTTCATTTTTGCCTTTTCTTGTTCCTTTGTCCTGATCTGCTCTATTTTCATGTGCAAGTTGCATGTATCCGGGCTGCTGGAGGGTATGAATACCTTCAAGCTCTGACAATAATGAACAGAGTAACTCCGTAGTCGATTTGCAAAACAACAACTTTAAGGGCAAAATGCGGAGTTCTTTTGTTGAGAGCCTGGGACAGATTTCGTCATTATTTATGCTCTTTATTACTCCCAATCATTATTATAAGTTATTCGGGTTAACCTCCAAGGGACCCGTTAGGTTATAGAAGTTAGTCGGGCAAAGCGTCGAACCTTCGAACCTTGGAACCCTTTGCGGGATCTGTGACTCTGCGGCCATGGATTCGCGGGAATTTTCTTCGGCAGGATCTGAAACACAGAGATTTATATACACACCCCCTCCTTTTGATAGGAGCACCACCTACTAAATTATAATAATAGGCATGGCTTGGTAATTAAATTCCCACTAATTAATACATATAAGATGGTGCAACCACTGTATGTAGTGGTTAAAATATCAATGTTGTGCGGCCTCAGTCCCATCCCTCTCTATCCCCTCATATAATCCTCATCCACTCAAGAATCTCACTCATTCTCATTCTTCCACAGGCTCTCTACTGTAAACTCTGCAGCTGTGTCATATACAGACTGCAAGCTGCTCTGACTGTCACAGTCATAGTCATATCAGACAGGCAGACAGACAAGTGATAATTTGAACTTCTGTGTGCATATAAGATTTCTGGCTTTTTTTTTACATACTACTTAATGGAAAATCAATTAAGTTACTAATCCAAACTCAATCAAATTTAGTAGGGGTGCGCCTATCAAAAAGGAGGGGTGTGTATATAAATCCCTTGAAACAAGCTAGGAGGGCATTTTCTAGGCGCCTTATTAGAGCCCTGGAAGCCCACAACAGAACATCCAGAAGCATGGGAGGGAGGGGGAGAAGAGGCCCAAGACCCGTAAGAGGGATGCACACGGCGTATGGTCGAATGAGCGGGCTGGAACAAGAGAAGAGAGGAGAAAGTGCTTCTAGTCTGGTTGTTAGGCGTGTCAGTAGCGTGTTCGCAGTGCTGGGGTTTGGATGCAGCGTGTGGGTTTATTATTTCTTCCAGGGCCCCAGGGCGTATACTGTACAGTACATAGTGGATATAGCCATATCGGACATGATATCTTGCTCGAGTTAAGCATGGGATATAGCCGAGGACAACTTGGCACGCAAGGTGAAGAGGGGCGACTAATGCAGCCAGCAAATATCGAATTCATGGGGGGATATTAATAGTAACTAATCTGTACTATTTCACAGCTTTAACAGGGAGTCATTAGTTATACATGCCAAAGAAGAATTTCGTGCCATTTTGTAGTTGTGTGATATTGTTATTTATTATTATTATTATTATTATTTGCGTACAATGTGCTGGTGAAAGACGAATCAATCAATCAATCAACCAACCATTGATAGATAGATAGATGGATCACCAACAGCAGCAAACATCCTCCACCTTTCATCTTCCAACTGCTGCACTCACTCACTCATCCTCCAACCTCCTCCACCTCAACCTACCTCAACCTACCTCTGCAAAAATCCTCAGCTTCACCCTTCAGCCAACACCCTCCTCCCAACTCCACCAACCAGTGTCGAGCATCAGTCCGCCTCTTTCTCCCTAGGCTTTGCTCAGCGTCACATCCCCCGACGATCTACCAACTCGCTCCAACGCCCGCTATAGCCCATATCCTCTCTCTCCTCCCCTCCCCCCGAGCCCGCTTCTGTTTCACATTCACATCCCGCCCGATGTAGACTATTTAGTAATAATATCGGCACCGGTACTAGCATTGGCTCCCCCCTACGCTACGTACGCCATCGATTATCACCGGCTTCTCCCTCGCTTCCTTCCCCCCTCTCTCCTCTTTGATCTCGCATTCAACACCCACACTTCCAATCTAGCACAAAGGAAGGGAATAACTTTGAAAGAATAAAAAAATAAAAATAAAAAAATAAAAAAACATGAAGCTGTTCAAGCACTTCCGTTCCAAGGGGAAGAGGAAAAGTGTGGACCACTACGGCTATGAGCAGCACGAGAAGTACAGCAATGATCACTACAACCACCAAAGCCCTCAGCACTCCGGCTCCAGCTACGGCCCAGCCATAGACTACACGCGAAACCTCCCGCCCGAGATTCTCTCTAGGATCTTTTCCTACGTCTGCCTCCATGTCCTGGACGATACTTACAACTCCTCTGAGGAGTCCATGACAGACGATGTCTGCATGCTCTGTGACATGCGGGACCTTGCCCACTGCGCAGTGGTCTGCAGGAAATGGTATCCTCCCGCTCATCGTCTCCTGTATGTCCTCTCCATAGATATATATCTATACTCCCTATCCTATCCTTTTCTTTTCTTTAAGGAAGGGTATGCAGTACCCGTACTAACCATTCCTGTCCTGGTGCTATAGATACCAAAATGTCCGTATCGATGCCGTGCATTATTGCGAGCTCGAGTATGAATTGTCTGCCAAACGGAAGAAGAACTCGTTCCTCGACCACAACTCGGAGCCACTGGATGCGCCCATGACGCGGTTGACGCTATTCAGCAGGTCAGTGCGCGAATCTCAGCGCATAGGAAAACTCGTGCTCTCGTTACGGATGCCCTATATGACTCGAGAGGCCGGTAAGCTATTGCTGGCGCAGACTGTACTTATGCTACCGAACCTACGATATGTGGACTTGCCTGCGGGTTTTTACTGCGATGATGAGTCAACGCTCATCCTCAAGCAAACCTTGATCGCCCGGTGTCCAGATATTCGACGGATGAAGTATACCAGGGGTTCAGAGAAAAGTTTCGCTGCCATTCAGCCACCGGATGAGATGGACAATGGGGATCCGTTTCTGCAAAGCCGCCAACTGCGTCAGCCGCCCCGGCCACAGATCAAAGTCTGGCCAAACCTCGAGGTATTGGAGCTTTCTGGCCTGAGCGTTTCCATTGACATACTCCGGAACGTCCTGGTTCAATTCCCACGCTTAACGGACCTGAAGCTGGAGGAATTAAACGAGATCGAACCGGTCTTATTCAAGAATTCGCCTTCCCTAAGACCCTTCCTACCCATTGAGCGCCTCACCCTCAACAATACCCCAGGAATCACCGACCGCGCATTCATGAACTACTTCAGCACCAACCACAACAAACAGGCCCTGAAGCACCTCACCCTGTCCAACACCGGCATCACGCCAAGCTGCCTCCACCACATCCTCAACAACTCCCCCCAAATCCACAGCCTCTCCGTCACCCAGTACATCTCCGAAGGTTTCATCCAGGATAACGTCCCCCCGCTCGCCTCCCGTTCCCTCCGCCTCCTCCATTATGAAATCACAGCCAGGACCGAAAACCACGCCGCCTACTACTACAAATACCTCATGTCCTCCCTCCTTTCCGGCTCCCTCCCAGGCCTCCTAGACCTCTACGTCCGCGACGCCAAGTTCCCAGAAATGCTCATGTACGCCTCCCTACCGCAGCTTGGGGCCCCTAACGGCGGCGGCCCACCCAAGGGCCTCAACCAGGCCATGTCCGTCTACAGCAAGGGCGCCAACGAGGTAGAGTGGAACTTCACCGCGTACGAACCGCTGGATATTCCGGGCGCGGGCGGCGCTGGCGGCCGACGACGACGCGGCAGCTCATCACGCCCCGTGAGTTTCCATGGTGCACAGCTGAGTCCGGCCTGGGGCGACGAGGCGCGCAGGAGTGTGCTGGTTGGGAATGGAGTTGGTGGGTTCCTGGCGCTTCCTGGGGAAGAGGAGAGGCCGAAGAGTAGTGGCGGGGCGTGGATGCATCGTCATCACCGGCGGGAGGGGAGTAAAGGGGATCTCTGGCGGTGATTGCCCCGCGAAGCGCAAGGTGGGGGCTGGATTGTTAGCGTTTTTCCCAATCTGTTTCGGATTTTCTCCTTTTTTTCTCCAACTCACTTTTTTATTTTTATTTTTATTTTTACTTTACTCTTTCTTTTATAAACCCATTCCTTGCCCTATTATTTTTCCTTTTTCTTGGATTATGATACTCTGTACGTTGGGCTGGATCGAGTTTCGGTTGGCTTTAACTTGGCCTGGTTGAAAACATGGAATAATGTGCATGAGTGCATGAGGTGGGAAGGAGATAACACTGAAGAGAGAGGGGTTTGTTTTCTCTTTGTTTTTCTGGTTTTATATTCCCCCCACGTTTTTCCTTTATTTATCTGTTCTTTTATATCTAGGGACCTGGTTGTCCCTTGTTTTTTATTTTATTTTTTATTTTTTTATATATTTATTCTAAAGCTTCCTTTCATCATTCAATCAGATCGCGCCTTTTGGAGTTTGGATTTTTGCGATAACGTGACCCCCCCCCCTCCTTTTGTCTTCTTGGGAGGCTATATTTCCTCTCAACTGATTTATCTTTTACTCTTTTTACTTATTTACCTATTCATTTTACCCATTCATTTCTTCTTCTTTTTCTCACCATTTTTCTCTACACATTCTACCGTTCTACAGATTCCCCTTTTCGCACGTTTATTTCCTCGTTTCGTTTCATATTTGGGTTTCTTGGTATCGCTCAGAATGTGTCCAAAAATGATTAGGGATGGAAAAGAGAAGTGAAGTATGTAGATGAGGTAGAGAGAATATATATATCTTCTCTGAAATATGAACAATACGAATTGATATATATATATTTGTTTACTTTCATCCTGTACATCTTGATCATTTTATATCTTATGTGCGCCCTTAGAGTTATTTTTATTGTTTTTCAATGTGGATGATACAGCTTAGCACCGCGTTTACAACTTGACTTTTATTTATTAATAGTAGCGGAGCAGAGAAAGATAGGTTGTGAAGGCTCCAGGTTCGCCAGGCCACACGTCTTGACCTCCCCCGCCGCCCCCCGCCTGCTCCTCCCGTAAACTGAAACTGACCAGGACCCTTTTACACGAGAGACGGGAAATGATGTTTTCGACGCCGAGTCCATCATTAATAAATGTTTGTTATAGTTAGAGATGTAACTATATATAGGGAATATCTAGGTATGTATCCTTTGTGCCTCCCTCCCGGTCTTAACTCCCGGTTTGGTATCGACGGGGATGGAGGTTGGACTCCTGTACATGTATATATATATAGTGTGAAGATGATGACGATGGTGATGATGAAACTTGCGCGGAGGATGGTATATAAATATTTTATATATATCTCGAGATTACAATCCATAGACCCTTGACTCCCGCATCTACTCCTTTTTTCCCTTCTGGTTGGTATTTGTACATGTACATGTATATTCATGTCAGAGCTGGTGGGAAATCTTGAGGAAAGCCGGAGCGAAAACGGAGGAGGGGGGGGGCGGCCATGTTGAGTGCGGGGAATAAACCATCCTATGAAACCGGACTTTTTAGTTATTTATATATTTATTTCCTTTTTTATTTCCTTTTTATCGTTTTCGAGAATGATCCTTGATCCAGGTTTGGTTTTTTTTTCTTTTTAGTGGCCAGGGTGGTTAGGCAAGTTGGATAAGGAAAAACTTCCTGGCGTCACGGCTTTTTTCCATGCACGTGTATATAGTTCAGGGGCTGGCGCTGCACTTCATTGTTGAGAGAAAGGGGGGTTTTTTTTTCTTCTTTTTTTCTTTCGCTTTCATTCTCTAATATCAAAGGAATTTACTCAAAATTCATGACCTGCTAGCAGGCTTTGATACCATATCTATCCTCTTCCATCCAGCAGCACAAGTCAATCGATATACCCTGGAAATGATGGAAGCGCCCGGAAATTGGTGCATGGCAGCAAGCGAAGGGTGGCAGGGGTGTGGACCGTTAGAAGGACCTGTTCATCCTGGTCAGAGACTAGGGGAATCAGGAATCAGGGCCGTTCATGGATGCAGAAGAGAACGGGTATGAGCGGAAGCATGTGGCTGGGTGGGTGTAGCCCCGATATGTGATTTTTTCGAGTTTAGGATGTTGAGGGAATGGCAGTTTATATCCATTTTGTTTCTTCCAGTTTCCCCCGTTTCCCTATTTCCTCTTTTGCTTTCCTTTTTAGCTGTATGCGTTTACTGACGGAAGAATCGATTCATACATGGATGACAGACAACACATGGCGTGGTCTGGACATCGATCCGGGTATCCTTCATTCCCTCCCCCCTCCAAAAATATGGCAGCAGCCGACGGTCGAACTCAGGCCTCCTTGGCGGGTGTGATCGAGGGCAACCAACAACCCCCACCATCGAACTGCTTGCAACGTCTCATCAGTCAGCACTGCTAGCATCTGCTAGGCAACTTCTCGAGCAAAAAGCCTGAACGCAGCCTTTTCCCTTCTCTTTGCTCCCTTGGTTTTTCTTCGTTTGCTTTAATTTTTCGCAACGTTCTCTCATCAATGCACGGCGCGAATCATAAGGAGGGATCCCACGCGAGTGACTGCCGCATAGCTAACTAAGAAGCGCTTTTATGTACTGTACATGTACACATAGTACTCCGTATAGTATGTGCTGTGCCTCGTTAAGTTAAGCGTAAGAGCACCACCCGGTTCCTGCGGCAGATAGCCTTTTTCCTTGTGAATTGTTAATAATAGGCCGTGAAGCTTGGGGATAAGTAGCATAGTAGTAGTAGGACCGTGGATAGCTAACGTGGATTATGTGGGAGCTTCCAACTTAAAACAAAACCTGCTCCGGAATAGGAGAGAAATATATTATATTATCTGATTGCAGCTCTCATGGGGTAGAATACTGTAAATAGTAAATACATTGGTTGATGTGAAGTAAATATTCTTCTTTGGAAATAGAAAAGTAGCACTGAAAAACAAAAAACAAAAAATAAAAAATAAATCCAAAAAAATAAAACGTGGCCCAAAACAGCAAAAGACTTGGCTCCAAGCACAACGCCTTAACTTTCCACCTCACTCAAACATCTCCACCACCGCCGTCTATTCTCTGCTCATCGTCGTCTCTCCCTTCTCCCTTCTCCCCTTTTCACTCTTTTCTCTCCTCCCTCCCCGCCTGTGTCTCTGTGTCGAGTGCGTGTATGTGTGTGGTGGACTGACATTCATCCCTCTCCTGGCTCCCTCCCTGCCAAGAGCAATTTACTCGCCTTGTCTCCTCTCCTGTCCTCCGTCGGTTCTCTCTCCCAGCCAGAAATCTCCCCCAATCCTTCCACCCCCCACCCCCCCCCCCCCTTGCTCCCTCCCTAGTCAATCCGTCAAGTCGACTATCAGAGATGGCTGCTATTCACGCGCCCTCCCCGAAACTGGACCGCTATGTCGTTATCCACGTTGCTACCACCTGCGATGAACATGGCGTGTATGTCACCAAGGACTCGGCAGAGGTCATCGAATTGGGCTGGATATTGCTGGACTCTGAAAACTGCAAGGAGGTGAGTCCTGTTCCATTCTGGAGTACAGGGAGAAGAAAATAAAAGCAAGAATCTGTGCTGGGTGTTTTCATTCGTTTTTAAGTTTTCTTTTGTGTACTATATATATATTGGCTGCTGGCAACCCTCTTTTTCTTGCAGGTGAAGGTTGTGGTTTGATCTTAAGATATAGTTGTCAGTTAACTTTCCCCCCCTTTAAATTAGTTGCATCGCGAGAGCGTCCTAGTTAAACCAGTTAATACCCCAATTACCCCCCTCTGCAGTAAGTGTGGCCCGTTATCTCGACCCGGATATTGGGAGATCCCTCTCCCTGTATTGCTGTGGACAACTGGCTGACGGCCGCGCTCAGCGAGCTTGACTACCCTCACCTGGGAACATGTCCGCTCAGCAGGAACATTCCGGGACGCCATCAACCAGTTTGATGCCTTCGCCCAGGAGCATCTCCTCTCCAAGAATCTCGAGTTCTCTTTCGTAACATTGGATTCTTGGGACATGCGTGTCCAACTCCCTCGCGAAGCCCGAGACAAGGCGGTTGTCCTCCCCCCATACCTCCAGCACTCGCGTACCTTCGATCTGCGGACGGAATACCAGCGATGGCAGCAACACCACCCCGAGTCTCTCCCATTCGGTCCCAGTGACCTAGCAAACATATGTGCTGCTCTCGAGGTCGAGCCCATGCAGTCATCCGCTCCCATCAAACACAATCTCCCCTTCCATCTGCAGGCTCTGGCCCCTGCATCTCCAAGGCGTGCTATGGAGGAAGCAATTACTCTGGCCCGAGTCCTCCATGGATTGATCAGAAAATCACAACCTGCCCACGAACACCCGGAGATTCTCACCCGCCCAATGGACGCTCGAGCTGACGTCCGCGCTTTCTTGGCCGAACGCAGTAAAGTTCTTCACATGAGCGGTCTACCGCACGACACCACCCAGTCCGAGCTAGAGAGTTGGTATACCCAGTTCGGAGGTCGTCCAATTGCCTTTTGGACTCTGAGAACCCCTGACCAGCACAAACCTACTGGCACTGGATTTGCTGTTTTCTCGTCTCACGAAGAAGTATGTATCTACATCTATTTTCCATGTCTTTTATATATATATATATATATATATACTTTATACAACTTTTAACTAAATTATGCTTGTACTTAGGCTGCGGAAAGTCTCTGCATGAATGGGCGTGCTCTGAACGACAAGGCCATCGAAGTATCTCCTTCCTCTAGCCGTGTTCTGGACCACGCTGCCGAAATCCTTACTCCGTTCCCTCCTAGTAAGAATCGTCCTCGCCCGGGCGATTGGACTTGCCCATCCTGCGGATTTTCCAACTTCCAGCGCCGTACGGCATGCTTCCGCTGCTCTTTCCCGGCTGTCGGAACTGCCCCAGACCCAATGGGTTATGGAGGCTATGGCTATGGTCCTCCATCGATGATGCCCCCGCCACACCATATGGGACACCATGGAGGTCATGGACACTCACGAGGCATGGGCGGAAATGGTGGTGTAGTTCCGTTCCGAGCTGGTGACTGGAAGTGCGGTGCTGAGGGCTGTGGCTACCATAATTTTGCCAAGAATATCAACTGCCTTCGCTGCGGTGGTCCTCGCTCTGGTGCTGCGGTAGTTGCGGACTCTGCTTTCCCTTCGCCAATGGATCCTCCATCTGGGTTTGGAATGGGTCCGGCATCTATTGCCAGCACCCCAGGCCCAGGCCCATTCGCTTCTAGTGCAGGTGGCTTCGGTGCCTTTGGACAACAGTTTGGAGGTCCTCCCAGCACCTACGCACTTCCCTCTGGCCTGGGAGCCGCCTCCGGCCCCTACCCACCAATGGGCCAAATGAGTCAAATGAATCAAATGAATGCTCCCTACGGATCAGCCAATGCATCCCATTCCGCGGCCTCGTTCGGTAATCCGGCCACCCAGGCTGCCTTCACTGGTGCAGACCATGTCCCTCAGCCCGTTGGCGCCTCCAACGGCAACTTTTATGGCAACGATGCCTCCGCTGATCCCTTCGCTTTCTTGGCCTCCGGACTGGGCTCTTTGACTGTGGAAGAGTCCCGCAGGAATGGTGCGGCAAATAACAAATCTCCAGCATAAATTTTGCCATTGACTTTTGGCCTCGCAAGAGCATACCCCCGGGAAATACCATATCGAGACTTTTTGTTAATTTTGGCTTTTGTAAACGTTCGCATCGCCCTTTTTTGGTTTTATTTTCGCAAGTTACATCCATAGGTGCATGGCTACTGCTCTATATCTAGAGATGTCTGTCCTGCGATATTTGGTGCATTGGGCGGAAACAGAAGTTCTTTTTCGGAAGGCAGCAAGTTGCTACATTTGCATGGAGCATACAATAACCAATCCTGGGCCACAAAATTATATCCGCTTCTGTATACCCGGGAATTTTCGTTGAGCAATTTTCGATCGGGGACTTTGTTGTTTCTTCATTTTCTTGTTTGTTTTTACTACACTTTGCTACAACTGTGTTATCTTATTATTTCCGCTTTTGTGTGGTTGATCGCGTCGTACTATTCCTGTGTCCTCTTCTCACCTTTTCTGTTTTTTATATTGTTTTCTTTATATTCATTCACCAGTTTTCCTTTGTTTCTTTTCCTTTCACCTTTTCGATCGTGGAACGGCGGACAATGGTAAAATTTGAGGGTCGCACGGGTCAGCATTGATGGGCGAAACGAAGACATTTCAGCATGGCATGACATGATCGGGACGTGCATAGATGCTGTTTTCATAAAGCCATCACCTTGGTTTCCACGTCGTTCATTGTCGTCAGCATAGCGAGTCGGGGGGAAACAAAAAATTGTTTGTTCTTCTTTTTGGATTGGTTTGGGTCATTGGACAGGATCGTATAGTATGAGAATTTTCCTTCCCTCGAAATACACCGAATATTGTTAGGCGGCAGGAAAGGGGGTTTCCACTATCGGCAGGGAAAGAAGCCAGAGGTGTATATCTCGACACGACCTTCCTTTTAACAACAACTGGGGGGGATAACGGGGAGATACAGGTCAACAAAATCATCGGAGAAGATCTACCAAAAAATGGGATTTTTATATGGGAGAAAACAAATGAATTGGGATGGGTGGTTAAGGCACACAGTGGTATTACGGAAAAAGGGAATCGCTACCAAAAAGAGATGGGAAAGAACAAATGGACGGATGAACCAGGGGGAAAAATCATCAACAACTTGACTTTCAACAACCCCACCCACATCCATTTTTCTCTTTTAAATATTACCTCCCGGTTTTCTTTTTATGAGCTCTGTTCGGGGTATGCTTCCTCATTTGCTTTCTCTTTTCTTTTTCTTTCTACTTCTTTTCTTTTTGGAGAAACCAGATCTATTGTTTGATTGTTATTATTATTATTATGATTCTTTTGGCCATTTTTTGTCTGGATTACTATAGGCAACCGGGGGTCGTTTATTATGTTGTTGGAGCGGGAAAAACGGAACGGAGCTTCTTCTTTTTTATATGTTCGTTTGGGGGCTTCTTATGCCTTGTTGGTTAGCCGGTTGGTTGGTCGCTTGGTTAGTTGGTTTGTTGGCTGGTTGGGCATGGCAAAATGGCAAAATGGCAGGCAAATGGCATGGATTGGTTTTCTTTTTTAAGTTCCTTGCTTCTTTTTTATTTTATTTTTATTTTTATTTATTTCTCTCTTCTCTTCAAGTATGGAACAGAAAAATTGGTGGGCGGGAACCGTTTGGAGTGATGGTGCGTGGTTTGGTGGAATTTTCTTTTCTTTTTTCCTACAATTGTTTTTTTCTATATTATCTTTTCTCCTTTTCTTGGTCATTAGCGACACGGTACTATACTCTAGAGCCCCCAATCCTTTCCCTCCCACCCTCCTGATCGATTGACTAACAGCTTTTATCGGACTATTTTGTTGCTGCAGCTTCCTCTATCCTTTCTCCTTCCCTCCGCTGTCTCTCTCTCTCTCTCCCTCTCTATGTTGTGTGTTCGAGGTTGACTTTCTTCCTCCCCCCGCTTCAGCCCCATATTTCTCTATATATATCCTCTATCTCACTCCCATATCTCCTCTTCCCTACTAAATTGAGAAAATCGCCTAGCCCATGTTTATTATCCCCCTCTTGACTTCCCCCAGCCCCTATTCCCCTAAACTCACTATCATCAAATCCCATATATTAAATGCACAACCCATCCCTCCTCCGCTCTATATCTATTATCTATTCCCCAGAACTGAACTATTGCTCAATTAAACTCGTTCATAGCTAGGGCTATTCTTCTGTTTTATCCTTCCCTGCCACTCCTAACATATATACCCTTTGTGAAGTAGGAGTGCGAATGTGATGGACGCGCTTGAGCTTCACCACGTCGTCATCTGCGGAGAGATACCGGGGCGGTATGTAGATCGTAAAATATCAAGCTAAGGCCAGAAGCTAAAATGGATGTGTAAATTGAAATCAGGTATCCATTCATTATATATACCGCATTAAACCAGAGATTATCAAGACCAGACAGAACCAATACCAGCAGAAAAAAGCGACGGGTGTTGCCAATAAATAAAACCAAAGGACAAGATAAATAGAAGAGACCAAATAAAGATAAAGTAAACCCTCATGTCTTCCGGCCAGGAATCCGCTTTAAAAGTCCAAATAAAACAAAAACGGGGTCACAATCCTCTACTATCAACATAATATCCTCCCCTGCTCACCCCTCAGCATCAGTAAACACATCCGTCCCCGTATCAACAGTACTCTCGCGTTTCCTCCCGCCACCGCCAGAGCTCCGAGAAATGATCGTATCATCACCCTCCCCAGCTTCCGTCCGACTCTCATCCATACCCGCATCCACACTCCCAGCCTCGCTCTGAACCACACTTAAAATGCTCTCACCATCATCTCCGCGCTCTCTCTTGATAGCCACGGACGCCCCAGAAGCCATAGAAGCCATAGAAGCCACAGAACGGGCCACCGAACCCTCCCTCGACATTCCCCTGGTTCCTCGACTCCTTCCACTCTCCCGCCTACCGCTACTACTATGACTTATAGCACTAGTCACAGAAACAGCCCGGCTTGTATGCGTCTTAGATGCCGCGGCCGCGGTGGCCGCAGCGACAAGCTTTAAGACCGCGTTCTTCGCTTTAACCAGTGCATTCCTGCCTGTCGCATCGCTCGCGACGCCAGAGGAGATCGCCTGGTCTAGTAGATCCTTCACAAGGAGCGGTAACCCCCCATCATCATCGGAAGCGAACTGAACTTGGCCGGTGAGATTGTTGGAGCGCATGCTAGAGCGGAGACTCTCATGATCATCTACACCATCTGGTACGCGTGATCCGGACCGTGAAGGCGCGGTTGGAGGTGTAGGTGGGGATGGAACGTGTAGTTTGCTCAGTAGGGAGAGTAGATGTTTTTTCTCCTCTTTGGTAGAAGCACTCGTCGAGCCCACTCCGAGGAGGCGTTGGAGGACATCCCGCATCAGGGCTAGATGGAGGCTGTCGCTGGGCCGGAATGCGGCGATGTTAGTGGCGGTAGAGAGCCCAGGAAGTTGCGCTTCACCACCTAATCCGACGATTCGTCGTTCATCTGTCCATTCCGCAAGCATGCCTACAACATTCGACATGAGAGATTTGACTTCCTTTTCACCGACACTTTCATCGATCTCTCCGTCGCTGTCTTCATCGGCTTCTAAGGCATAGAAATCATCGGCAGCAGTTAAGACTGAGTGAACTACCGGCACAGCAATTTTACGCATGTGTTGAGCGTTTGCAGCGCGGGAGTGGCAGTAGACGGGCAGGAAGTACGTCAGTGCTTGTCTGAGAGCTAGGTTATCCCGCGTCCGGGGATGGAAGAATGAGAGAACGAGAGCTTGTAGGAGGGCATCTATGGAGTTCTCGTTCAGCTCTTTGATCGATAAGGGCACATTAGGGCCGGACGGGGATAAGGTTCCAGTAAGCAATAGTTTCGCCAATGCAGTGACAGCCGCCGTTTGGACAATTGGCGGGGAACTGGTTTTCAATGACTTGGCGAACACTCTGAGCAATGGCTTTTGAAACGGGGGAGGAATGACAGAGTTGCTTTCATTTGGTGATTGAACTGGTAGAAGGATTGAAGTATGCGTTGTGAGGATATCGGCAAGAATGCGGATCGCTGTTTCTTGCAGAGCCTCGTGGCCTTTCGTGTAGCAGTGTATAAACAAGCTCATGTTCTCTTCAGCCAGCGTCTAGAAAGCGGTCAGCGGTGATTCACTATAAATATTATCGAGATTCCTATTTGATCATCTTACCTTATCCAATAGACAGCATAGGCCCAAGCACTGAAGTCCACGCTCTCTAATAGGGGCCTCGTGGCTCCTGACTGCTGGGACCACCAGATTGTTCAGCATGGTAACTAGGTGCATATTGTCTTGCAAGTTGCCTTCAACATTTTGAAGCATACATTGCGCGATATAAAGACACTTCATGTTCACCATAATCTCGCGAAGAAGCTTGGCTTTAGCCTCTTCCTTGTTAAACGGAACCTCTTCACTATCATCCTCATCTTCCTCATCTTCATCGCCAGGGGTCTCGGATCGATTCCGCTTAGATTTCCTACTTTCCTCACTCTGTTCCGACTTCGCGGAGACAAAGCTATCCTCTGACACGATCGTGTCATGGACTTCTGCTACAGCTTCGAGCACGACACCACAAAACTCACTTTCACCAGCGGCGTCGGGACCACAAACCGCTCGCAGAGCCTCGACGACAAGTTTTGTTACCTCCTCTGGGAGATTAGGGACTGCTAATGTCTCTCTGAGAAGAGCAAACATCTTTCTTCTGCCAACTTCGTCACTATAGTCAAGAGTAAGGCAGATATGCAGGAGTTGCTCAACAACGAATTCGCACTCGACGGTTTCTTCTTCCGCGCGCTCATCCTCTGCTGGTCCATTCAGCCTGTCTAAAAGAGAAGCCGTATACTTATGGAGGTAGTAAGCCAGTGCAGTAACTTCGGGAATCTTTTCATCCACCAAATCGTGATATTTACCATCACCCTCTTCCTTGCAGAACTGGTTGAAGCTTCGTGCCATAAACACTGTTTCCGGTGTGAGAGATTCCCAGAATTGCTCATTGAAATCAACTGCTTCACGGTAGTCAGGGCGTCCTTCCCAAAAGATCCTCATGGCCTCATGAGCAATTCCACCCTCGATTCCAGAGTTCACAACATCTATCCGTTCTAGAAGCTCCATCAGCGCGGGCATGCTGGGTGGGGCAGTTTTGTCTGTGGGTTGTTGGCCATCTTCTTCAGCTTCGGGCCGCCCAGCGCAATCCTCGATCCAACGTTCGTAAAATAGCCTACCAGCCGCCTTCTTGACATTGTCATCGCGATCCCGAATTCCCCATCGTAGTAGTTTTTCTCTCATGGACAAGGAGAGATGTCTAAAGTCTCCCAATTGTGGAAGTAGACGCGAGTATAATGCTCTCCGTGTTGGTGCATCCAGGTCTCGGGCCCGTTCTAGAAGGTAAGGTAGGGTTGTTGGCGTTAATGGAAGGTTAAGAAGCAACGTGCGTCGCACTTCAGCGCTAGTATCATTTTGAAGGACATCCAGTAGTCTATCCAGGAGCGCTGCTGCCCCATCGTTCTTGCTCGATTCGTCGTCTTCGTCTTCATTTCCGGCGAGTCGCCCAAGGCCCATGACGGCCTGGACGCGCACGGAGGGTTCTTTATCTCTGATGCGCTTGACTAAACCTTGTCGGATAAGGTGATATAGCTCATCATCCACAGAATCTAGTGAATTGACGATGTGAGTCACGATCTGCGTTGTTCGATATCGGATAATCCTCTCCTTGGCCGCGAGGAGTGGAATCATGGTTGACACAATGCTGAATATCAGCCTGGAAGTAGGGGTCTCTGGTAGAGACTGAGTCTCATCTGGGTCTCCCTGAAGGAACACCTCAAAATCTACGTGATCCGTTAGGGTGTGGGAAGATGGAATAATTTTAGTCGTTGTCTAACATACCTCTCTCGGAAGCTAGTCTTAGGAAAGTCCCGAGGAATTTAATGACCCGATCTGCCGCCCCTTCTGTCTTTTTAACCCCGAGGATTCTCAGCATGCATCTGGAAACCTCAATATTAAACTCCTTCTCCGCCACCCCGTCGTCAGCAGTGAAGCCATCGTTTATGGACTCTTCATGCTGCTTGCTTCCCTTCCCTTTCGTCTTCTCCCGTCGCAATCCACAACAACCTTCTTGTATCTTCCTTAACCGTACAACGAGTTTCCTATGGCCGGTTGCTGAACGTTGCGCATCTGAGAAAATCTCGACTATGCTTTTCCGGAGATGTGGAGACGAGGTAGGCAGCGCGGGCTCTGGTGGGATGAATACAGACGGCGCACTTCTTTCAGCGGGCGGGGCTGAAGACTTGCGAGTAGACGTCGCCGAAGAGGCCCGGGCAGAAACTCGAGCGGGCATGGTGGGAATATTGGGGCGCAATCGAAACGTCCACGCCGGCTTCCTGTACCTACCCTCGGGGACGGGGAAGGAATGCGTGCCTGGTTATTACAGATCTCAGCTAATCCTGTAGGAGGAGCGGGGCTAGATGTATAAGCATCAAAAGAATAGTGATACTTGGTCTCAAATCAATGTAATCAGCCTATATCGGGGTCGAATGCTGTCACGGAGTTGTTGGTAGTTCATCGGCGCTGATGTTGTTGTTTACATTGACGTCGAATTGCCGCTTTAGGCAATGGGCATAAACAAAGCTAATGCACGCTGATCGCGCTAAGATAAGGGCTCTGAAGTCCACGTGGAACATCTTGGCCCAGATTGATAATGGATGGCATGTCTCTATGTTTTGATCGCGTATAAAAGATGCATATTCTGTTCAAGACCATATAAAATTTGTCTACCTATTTCTATTTCCATTCCTCAGGGTCAGGGGCATCACATAATTGTGTATTCTCCGGCCTGCCTCGATGAATCTTCCGAGATGTACTGGTCTTCCGGTGCACGTGACTAATCTCTAGTTCCTTATCACGCAATCGATGCTATTGTACTCGGCGCTTGCAGGCTCTGTAATTGACTCTAACTCATTCTACAGATATCAAATTTACCCGTCCATTTACTTGCACATCAGGCATCATGTTCCGCACCAGTGTCAGACGCTTTGCCACCACGGCTTGCAGGTCAGCGGAGACCATTGCGCAGATTGAGTCCAAAAACGCTTATGGCATCCAAGTTTCAAAAGCCCAAGGAGTCGTGAAAGGCCTCACAGGAGGTAAGGTACCACCGATTAACCTGTGTTTTCATTTCCAACGTACGTCTAGCCCCTACATGAATTTACTGACTTCGCGTGATAGCAATTGGAAATACACCCCTCATCCGGCTGAACAGGCTCTCAGAGGAGACGGGCTGCGAAGTTCTCGGAAAAGGGGAATTCCAAAACCCGGGAGGCAGCGTCAAGGATCGCGCGGCGTTGTATGTTGTCAAGGATGCGGAGGAGCGAGGGCTTCTGAAACCTGGTGGCACGGTTGTTGAAGGCACAGCCGGGAATACCGGAATCGGCCTGGCCCACGTCTGCCGATCGAAAGGATACAAACTCGTCATTTACATGCCCAACACACAGTCCCAAGGCAAGATCGATCTCCTACGGCTCCTCGGTGCGGAGGTATACCCCGTCCCCGCAGTAGCCTTCGAAAACCCGCAAAACTACAACCACCAAGCCAGAAGACATGCCGAGTCGCTAGACAACGCTGTCTGGACAAACCAGTTCGATAACACGGCCAACCGCCGCGCGCATATTGAGACTACAGGCCCAGAAATCTGGGCCCAAACTGGAGGTAAAGTCGACGCTTTCACCTGCGCGACTGGCACGGGCGGCACGCTAGCAGGCGTCACCAGATATTTGAAGACTGTCAGCGATGGGCGCGTAAAGAGCTTCCTCGCAGATCCACCAGGAAGTGTGCTTTACAAATATATATCAAGCGGCGGGAAACTTATTGAACGAACGGGCAGCAGTATAACGGAAGGAATTGGCCAGGGTCGTGTTACAGACAATCTACAGCCGGATATCGACCTGGTGGATGGAGCGTTAAATATCAGTGATGAAAAGAGCATTGAGATGGTGTACCGGTGTTTAGATGAGGAAGGTCTTTACCTTGGCGCCAGCTCGGCTCTCAATGTTGTTGCGGCGAAGGAGGTTGCTGAGAAGCTGGGCAAGGGCCATACCGTCGTTACTGTATTATGTGATGGTGCCTATAGATATGCCGACCGCCTATTCTCGGAGAAGTGGCTGCAGAGTAAGAACCTGCGCGGCGCGATACCTAAGCATCTAGAGAAGTATATTGTTTTGGAATGACTTTATGTGTTTATATGTATATATTATATATTAGCTTCTTGGATTTAGTCCTGCGGGTATGTGTAGAAGCGTTGTCTAATTTCTAAATATAAAGTCGCTGTTAGATCCTATTCAGTCTTCCTGCGAAATGATTCTTGGTAAATAGATCACTATAGACAGCATGATCTGTGGTATAAAAGTATTTTGTTGCTGTAATATCCCCCAAAAGGACAACCTGCTACCATTTTTACATTCAAGTACATATCCCCCCTTATATTTGGATGTCGCCTTTCTATTCGCATAGTTGCAGAGGACGTTAATAAGGTAAGTGAGGGGAGATGCCATGGGCTATCGTTGAGTCGCGTACTGCTATGCCTTGTATCCAAATCCTCCCGACTGGAGGGTAAGTAGATGCCTTCCCAGCCTAGACGGAAAATATAAAATGAACCTTCTACACGCGTCGAAAGTTAGGAAACCTCCCTCATTTCTGGCGTATAGGGCTTCGCTAGCATGGCTGAGGGCGTAGGCATGACATTAATCCTGCAAGAAGCAGTGTTCGCTAGAAACCTGTGTATCTTCATACGGGCGGTTGTGTTCTATGGGATATCAAGCTTAGTAGAGAAGAAGGGGAGGGGGATTGGATTGGGGTTAGTCAGCCAATTGCCCGCTTTTCAGCTTTGCGGAGGGGGCCAAAATATTCACATTTCTCTAGAATCATTCAATTATTATTCAAATATATGTTTTTCATATCTTTATCATCATATATTAACTCTTTTGTTAATATATTTACAATATCTGCTGTTCTGCTGTTTACAAGCTTATTACTGAGTGAGTTATAAATTTATTATTCAGCTTAAAACTCTCTTACGGAGTTACGTACTCTGTACTCTGTACATAACTATGAGTTCAATCTAAAGTAGAACTAATGAATTAATAGATTTTATAATGATAATTGATTAAATAATTATTTCTTCTGTGTTAAATTCGGTTTTTTCAGCAATCTAGACATTAACTGTGACTCTGTGATGGAGCGTCTCCTCTGATACTACGCCACCACTCGCTTTGCCGCACGAGTTCGCCATCTTCACCGCCCAGCAAAGGCCAGTATTTTTTCAAAAACCACATCTTTGCTTCCCAACTTCGAGCGTCCCATGGCGTACCTGTCGAAATAGGCTTAGTAGAAACCTGTCGATCCTTTTTCCCTATACCGCCACTGCCCCAACACACCAATCCGGCAAGCATGTCATGGAAAAACTCATCCTTGTCAATCTCTTCCTGGTGTGTAATGAGATTGTTCCGTAGTGTTGGGAAGGGTAGGATATCAATGTACGGGTGATGTTGGACGGTGATTTGTTCGATGCTCGGTCTCAGATCCGGTTTCAGGGTGCTGAATACCCTTTGGACTGTACAGATCGTGTTCGTTTTGGCTGTATCGTCGTCCGAATCCAAACCCGAGCTGGGCCAGAAGAATGGTGAGAGAGAGTTGTCGGTACAGATCATCTCCTCAGTAAGGCCAACATGCATTCCGATAGTATACAGTGCAGATACAGTGCATACTATTTCGATGCGTATATTGCTAGCATATGGATCTAGTGTGGCTATATCCGGCCTAAATTTTAGTATCCTAATTTCCTCAAAGTTGAATGGACCAGCGCCTTTTGTCCGTAGCTGCAGGTGTGAGACAGAGCAGCCGCACTTAATGGTGGTCGTCCAGTATGGATTCAGCGCGCCATTGGATTTATGGTTAATGAGAAGCGAGGAGAGGCCTATAAAGCTCGTAGAATCCCACGTGCCCAATGCCGTCGAGGTGCTATCTGGCTGTGGAACATGCGCCTCTGAATCATGTATGCTCCGCGCCGCTCCATCTTCCTCTAACCGTGGGAAAAGGTATTGACATTCTCCTGGAGTCACTACAGATGAATTGGAACCTGATGTACCTGAATCGGCATAGGGTAGCGGAACCATTCCAGTTGTATTGGGCGAAGTGCTATAGCTGCATGAGCTATCTGTTGTGACATCAGATGGACCCGCGTGTGTAACGGTTTCTGCCTCAATAGCATGGCTCTGCGTGACAGATGCAGCAAGTCCTTCAAGGCGATTGAGCCGCGCACGTAGCTTTTCTCCTAGGCAAACGATCAGTACTCGCTTTCGTGCCCCTTGAGAGAGGTTCCAGCGCCTCCATTCTGCAACCTGTTGACACGCTGGCCAGACGCTAGAGGAGGCTGGGCCGGATGGAGCTACTCACGGTACTTTCGTTGTGCTTTAACATTCTGCTGTCGTCTCTTTTCCATGTCACGGCGGACAGGCTTTCGTTTCGTCTTCGGCCCACTCCCACCCCGCGGCTCATTTTCTTGAGCATGTCGTTGCATCATCAAGTCGCCGAGACGATCGGATACAGTAACGGGTGATACCCTAAGCTGTGGAATCGAGAGAAAAGCTAGAGGAATGCGAAGGTACTGTACGTGCGGTGTGATCCTAATACATGGCTAATGTCAGCCATTTTATATGCTGATATCCAGGCAGAACATTCGCGGCTTGGTGGCTGCCTTAGGCTGCGCTAGAGTGTCGGAGAGTAAGGATTTAGCCCAATGAACGAGCACATGGATGGGCCGTCGAGTCGAGCCGGAGGAGGCCAATTCTATTTTCATTTCTTTCCCCTAAAATGTTTCTTTACTCTTGCTAATATAATCGTATGGTGACACCCCGCTACACGAGGTTGAAAAACAAGGACCAACGTTGTATACACGACTTTCTGATTATTAGAATGTTTTGTTCATATTATTTAGCTATTATGATTATAGTATTTAGGCGTAGCCCCAGTGCAAAATTGATCACTGCCAAAGCATATAGTTATACAGTTGTTTATTGCTTCCACTCGTCTCTGCCATACTTGACGATATCGGCCATTTCCAAAACCCAGTACTTTGAGGGAGCTTTGCCCTCTTCAGCCATGCGAGCAGCTGCTACAGCGGCTCTACCAATAGTAGTTTGATCCTGACCTACAGTGATCACATAAGTTAGGATTTCGAACAAAAAAAATCATTGAAATAAATAATAATTCATCCCCCCCGCGGGGGGGGGGGAGGAGGGAGGGGGTGTGTGTGTCATACCTATCATATCCTGGACGCCCTGTCCAAACACGCTCAACCATTCTACGGCGCGCTCCATGAGCAAGGTTTTGTTTGTGTCCCTGTGGATGATCATTCCCGGCCTCAGGATAATAGCATGCTCGAAACCGACGTCGCGGATGGCATCCTCCACTCCAATCTTCATTTTCGAGTACGGCAGGTAGCGCGACGGGAACCCTCTGGTCCCGCCGCTGGAGATGAACACATATGTCTTCGCTCCAGCTGCCTTGGCTGCTTTCGCGTTCTCTATGCACAGGTCATGATCGATTTTCCACTGGTTCTGGATTCCGCCGGCTGCCGCTCTTGTGGTGCCGATTGCATTGAAGAACACTGATGGCTTGGGGGTGAGGGAGGGGATCAAGGCGACCCATTTTGAGCTATCGGCTTCTTCGATGGCTTGGAGCTTGGGCGACTGAGCGTTCGGTAGTCTCCTTGAGATAGTTTTGACAGCTGAGAATGCATCTATGGAGAGGACTGTTGCGAGGATTTGAGAGCCCACCGCTCCAGTACACCCGAAGACTGCTGCTGTAGCCATGGTTTGGAGATTTTGGGGATATATTTGGATGTGTTTCTCTGACTGCACTGTACGGGGTGTCTGATGGGTTCTGTGTCAAATAGGACGATTACTGGTGAGGTGAGATGAGAAGAAAGAGGATGAAAATGCAAGAAATTCAAGTTATATAGTCCGCAGAACGAATGATAGCTAATGGATACGTCACAGTCACAGCCTAGAAACTCAAAAGCGCCAGTTCCACCGCAACCCTAACAAAGCTATGTGGCTGTGTGAGCCATTGCAAACCGCCAAGAACAGGCTGGATATCAACGACGACGACGACGGAGTAATAACAACACCGACCATCACGTAGCAACATCCAGGATATCCATGTCTTCATGTCTTCAATATTATTGGCTGCTGACACGACTGCGGACTCCCTTAAATGTCACAATCTGCCAGCTCGTCACCAGCGAAGTAAGCTATTAACCCATCTTATAAAGTTAAGTCTCGGAATCTGATTCCGCTTCGCTTTTTGCTCTATTTTATTACTCGCTGCCCGGGCCAGGGTTCGAGACGGGCGGATGGCGAGATTAAGAGCCTTTTTTTTCCTTTTCTATAATATGTCGCTTCGCTTTCATTAATAATTGTTCAGCTAGTGTTGTTGTCTCTCATGTTTCATCTACTCTAATTTTATTTTATTCGATATTAACCAGTCATTTTAGTTATTCATTTTTCAGTCATATTATCCCCCTTGACAAGCAGCTGCAAATAAGAGAGAATGAAAGGGAAAACGGCACGTGTTACATGTCATGGACCTGAAATCTGACGATAACCAAACCCCCTTAAATTAAATGATTGGGTACAGTAACTTATATAAACAACTATCATCTCAACTTGAGCAATGGGAATACAAAGTGAAAGCTAACATGGAATCTCTGATAGGTTAAAACAAGATTTGGTATGTTCATATTAGCGACACAAGCACAGTTAGTGAGGAATCGACCGGCAAACACTTGTCTTCATTGGGGTTCGGCTTTGCGGCATCTGTCAAGTTAGTAATTTTAACTAGCCGGGCTGAGATTCCAATAATAGCCCTGGTAGGAGCTGTACATAGACAATCTGTTCATTGCTTCATGTGGGGATTTGCAGGTCACCGAGGATATAGCTGAGCTTAGATGGGATTGGGATTGCAGGAGAGGTAAGTTAATGTGTCTGGCCATTGAGTGGGGTTGGTTAATAACTACAGTCTGGTTGGTACGTTCCGATTGGCCGTCGGTTTGAGGGTGCCATGCAGTGGATTACTGTGATGAACCCAATTCAGATCTTGTGGTCGTCAGGACAGAGATACAGAATCGTCCATAATCATCTCTAATGCTCAGTTTCCCACTCCAATCCCTAAGAGGGGAATAGGTATAGGATTGACGAAGCTCAGAATGCCCCCTTTTGTGCAGTAAAATTCAGAAGATGTAACTTTCCAATAAGATTGTTATGGCACAGGAGATATTAGGAATATTCAAAGGCAATAACCTGCAGTGAACATGAGCCATTCCATTTTATGACATAGTCAACATATGGAAGGTCAAGCCCCTCACTGCGGGCTGAGGTAGCCACCACGCCGGGGATCTGACCAGCCCTCAGCGGCAGGCAAGTTATATCTGAACCTACGGTGTCAAAACCAGCAGGTTATGATAATGGCGCGCATCATTTTTGAGAGTAATTCCTTTGATATCAGAGAATGAAGGTTAAAGAACAAAGGACAAGAAAACTGCAAAGGAGAGGAACACTTTTCTCTCAACGACGAAGTACAGTCCCCTTCATGTACTGAACTGCATACATTCACGTGCATGCAATCTGACATGTGGGGGAGGGTGTAACGACGCGACCTAGCGAGCCTGGATGTGAGTAGGGGCGTTCAAAGCCAAGCGCAAGCTGGAGAAGCTCATGGCGAGGAAACTGGACAGCGTAAAACAGTCAAAACAAGCAGAATACTTACGACCACGACCGCAGGTAGCAGCCTCACGAAGCTTGGATTGGTGGCCGGTAGGCATAGCGGGCGTAGAATCGATGGTTCGAATCCGTCCGAGATTACAATTGCGTATCCATCACGTAGGTGTGAAAGGGCCAAGACGCAACTGTCGGCCATGCGGACTGGAAGAATATCGGAGGCATCTAGGAGAGATTCCCGACCGTTGGTGAAGCTGAGATGGAACACCGGCTAGGTTCATGAGGTGACGGCATCATTGCAGTCGGTACAGCCATCCTTGACGACAAATCCAACGGCGCGCACTCGTGAATTTTCACTGGGATTTGTTCCGGTATAAATATGCTAGGGTTTTATTCAAACACCTGCATTATGTGCCGTTGGGTGTCTCAAAACACATTTGCAAAATCTCACCAGTGGCTGGTGGCGGATGAGAACACAATTAGGGAAGGATATATCATTGGTTTGTGATAAATCTTCGTCCTGCCCTCTAGTATCACAAACTCGCTGGGCTTCGGCCGCTGGAGGTTTGTTAAGTTGTATGGTATAGTTGATAGGGTTAATAGCTGCCACTGCACCGGGGAGTCGAATGTCAGGTAACGAGTGATTCGGAACCGACATCATCCTGTAACACCCCATGCGAGCGAAAACTTCTTATAAAGGAGCCAAGTGAAAAGAGAGAAGATATCAATAATATTATATCAGCTGATGCTGCATTAGGAGGGAGACACCTCACAACATATTTAACTTATGTAATGACAGTATATCATTAAGACATTGCTGGTCACTTTAATAAGTGTAAAATAGAGGGTTCTGAACTCTTTCAAGTTGCTGATGGGATCATTTCAGGTACTATCATGTTTGATGTTGAGGGCTGTCTTTTCTACCACTGTGTAGAATGCTAAGCTAGATGAATGACAGAGTAAAAGTTGGTTCAGTGAACAACCTCGTCAATGAAGAGTAGATCTAGACTCTCTTCTAGCTCTGAGATGGCGGTCACTGCTGAGATGTGATAAAATCCAGACACTGAAATGAGAACATCGAAATTTTGTAACCCTCCTTGTCGGAATTGAACATATCGATGGTATCCTCATGCTCGTCCAGTGTTCTACCCTCGTGTATGGTGGGAATTTCAACCTTAAGGCATCGGTTAGCAGTTGAGAAAGCACTATTGAAGTTGCGGGGCCTCTCGGGGTAACGAACGTTGTACTACTAATTTCAGCTGCGTAGCCACGAGTACCTAGAAGTCGTTGAGGCGGACGGTTTTTTGGAGGCCATCCGACGTGGGTCGTGTATCTTATCATTATGCTGCCAACTTTGAAAGCTCTCCAAATATCCTCTTTACAGTTGTCACGTCCTTATGCGTCAGGCCCCAGTTGACCACCTTCGCTCCGCGTGTTCTCTGCGTTCTCTGCGGTGGATCCTCTTGCATTATTATAGATCATTTCGTTGCTGATTTGGGTGGAGGTTGTCGCCTGTGCATTCCACAGGACCCAAGGAAGGATATATGATTGACGCTCAGGGACACCCCGCCTATGATCATGGCCGGTCTCAAGTGCAAACAGCTGTAAATTTTCGATTTGACAGGAGTACATGTACATGTACATACGACACTGCCCATTCTGTTGACTTAATGCTACCAATTATTTGATGACCTGGGTCAAGAAGTCGGGCCCGCTGATAAAATAAAGAATATCAGGGGAAGTGGCTAGAGGACATTAGATTGGTGAGACGTCCACTCCGCCTTCTGAGGGACCTGGCTGACACCCCGAAATGATACCTGAAGACATGGTGACAGTGAACAGTGACGGGATGGGATCACTCAGACAGCCCTCCCTTTAGAAATAGGCTAACCCGCGCAAGAATGTCGAGATTCAGAAGCTAGGGGAACCGGATACACATAACCCCCGAAAAGTGTGGATTATTGTGGGAGTTTGGGGTCTTTGGCTATAGCAGGAGTATTTTTCAGTGAAACGGACGATTGTTAATAGCCGCTTTTTGTAGGTGTTTTCCCTCGGTGGGAAATTGGCCTTATGAACTATAAGATCCGTGCATGGCAGGTTATCAAGAGAGACTCCGTCTAGGTATCGATACGGATATAAAAGTTTATCAAAATTGAGTCTTAACTCGGCCGGTGATAAGGTCCTAGCGTGATCTTGCTTCCAGCTAACCATACTTCTAGTTCTTCTTTAGAAAGGCTGCAAGATTGCTTGAGCCTCGCCCACCCAATCCTCGGGAAGAGACCGTCTCGGAGGGATTGGTATAGGTCTTCAGAAGTCTCCAGTCCTCTGTACGCAGTCGAGGCAGGCATACCTCCCCCGTTGATTATGGGTGGTCAAAAGACAAAAATTAAAAGTAAGCTGGGTAAAACAAAGAATATCAAGGGGGTCTTTGCGAGAGCTCCAGCAGATAATATGTATCCAGACAGTTAAATACCGCAAGTATATACAAAGTTGAGTCACGATAGACACCCGTCCCATCTTCGATAGATATTATACCCGTCTCAGCACGCTGTTCCATTTCCCACGTTTGATCAAAATCAGCGGCCCATAGTTGTCTGGGTTCTCGAACAGAGGTGGTGGAACGCATGGTAGGTTTGTCTCGCGTAAGTGGTGTGATGGTAAACGGTGACGATCTTGGCGTATACAAAGTCCATGACAGTCTCTCGTTGGAACAGAGCGGTAGAATTGTAACAGTGAATGGCAGCATCATTGACAGGGCCATTCGCTGAAGCAGTAACGAGGACTTGATGGTTTTCGTGAGGGAAGTTTTTGGTGGGGAACAAGCTTCTCCCTCAGAAAGAGGAGCAGCAGCAGCAAAAGCATCAGAAGGTGAAGATTCAGGTTCAGAAGAAACCAATCCCAATCCAAACACAGGCCCCAATCGAGAACTAGACACATCTATGTGATACCCCGATGATCCGGTTTCCCTAACTCGTTGAAAATACCCCGCAGTCTCCAGGTTCTTGAGGGGCTAGACGTCGGCGAGCCAGGTGTCTAGCCCTTCTTAGAAATAGCGGATAATGGGAGTGTCACCAGTTTTAATAGTGTGCAGGAGATTTATCTTCTGCGAAGTATGAGATACTACTTTGCACCGATTAACGGAAGAAGAGACTGGAAAATAATCCAATAAGTGGTGCCAGTTCCTGGTGGCCCACGATAAAAGCCGACACCACCAGTGAGTCATGTGAGACTGTTAAAGGCGAGTTGCTGATCGATATTGAAATTGGCAGTGCGAAGAACATTGTTGATACGCTGTAGACGTTCACGCGATTTCATCGTATCTTTTCATAAATGTTGACACGAGGCAACTCTCTGGCATGGAGGTCGTTTGCAAATAGGATCTGATACATGTTAACTTGCCGAAGGGGAGCGCTGCGAATGGGTGCTTGAAAGGCATGATAGCTGGCGAGCTGTTGGCGAAATGACCGGTTAGAGTACTGGATATGGCCCGAAACCTACCGGGAAGGCTGCGAGATTCTGCAATTACGCTGCGAAGATCGTGCTAACAGAGGTAACAAGCTTGATCATTCTAAGATCCGCCGTTATATGATGGAAGGCTACCTAAGGATAGACGGATTAGTCTCTGACACGTAGATGGTGGTAGCAAGTTTCCCTCGCATAGTGATATCACGTAAACGCTTATTTTTTAACCGGTCTCATAGAAGCAGGTTGCCGATTTCAACGTATATAAAACGCCCTTACAATCTCGCTCGTTGGAAAAGAACGCCCATCCCAGCCCATTCAATCTATACAGACATCTCAGTCACCTCACCGGATGACGTACCAGTGCCAGCCAGAATTTGAATTGAAGAGACGTTCCCCCCTCTTCACAGCTGCATCTCCATCCTGATGATCGATATGGGTGGGGCACGGAAGCGAGGAGAGTTCAGCAGGGTTCAGTGATTGCAAGATGACTGGTATCCACTGCCTCGCGACGAGGAATGTGCCAGGTGATGGGGAGGGAGAACCTTGGTAATTCCTGAATAGTTAAGATGAAGTTAATGGTCCTAGATTTCCACGGCAACTTAGCTAGGACGTGGATTTCCGAGTCCCTGCAAACGGGGAACAACATTAAGAATCAATCGAAAAACTCGCATGTGAATATATGGTACGATGCCACTTGAACGAGTGTGCTGGCTGCGGGAGAGGGAATTGAATAATAGAGCCTGAACAAATCAACAGGCTGATGAATGTCTAGAAGTAAAGCAAAGCAAGCTCATCTAGTCTTTATCATGTAAAGTAACGAGGTATAGCCGTTCACAAGGAGCAGGTTTTCTCTCTATGAAAGTAAACAGACAGAGAGAGAGGCAGACATTGTATATTTCGGGAAGAGTGTGTATTAAGAAGCCAAGGGAAGATATGGGGACAGGGGAGTGGAAGATTAGGACAGGGACAAGACTGAGAGACATGAGTAGTTTGATAGGGAGCCGGCTCAGTCAACTTTTTTTTTTTTTCTTTTTTTTTTTTCATCACTGAGTGGAGAGTGGGCAAGAAGTCTGGGGTGAGGAGGTAGTTGAACAGCCATAAATATAGAATAGAAATATGAGGTGAAAAAGAACGTGAAAGGCTAAAAGGGAGCGCAAAAAGTTGGCACGGCACGGGCTGGGGTCATTGGTCATCACAAACGGAACAGAACAAGGAAGGACAGGAGCAGGAGAGGCAGGGTAATCAATAAGAAAACCCAGAAGCACGCGCAAAGGGGCATCCGACAAACTCCAAGCAACAACCATAAAGAGAAGAAAGAAAGAGAGAAAGAAAAGAAAGAAAGAAAGAAAGAAAAGATAAGGAACAGAACACGCTCAAACCACAGAGACATTCCACGACGCCCCATACCCACAATATCCTACCCCGCGCAAATTCCACGGCGATGTCTGCTGCTGTGTATTCCCACCCGCATCCGTCGCGCGACTGTAGATCGTCAAATCCCGCCCCTTCTCCACCGGCACCTCCGCCCTCCACAACACCCACGCCCACTTACTTCCTCCCTTATTAAAACTCTCCGCGCCATGATTTAGCTCAGCATCAACCCACGTCTTCCCGCCGTCGGCTGAAACCTCAACACGCGTCACGGGGCCCTCAGCGCCGTGCGGGACAGCAAAGCCTTTCACCTCTAGCTTGCCCGAGGGCGGGCGGCGGACGGTCTCGTCGTCACCGGGGACCGCGACGACGGAGTTGACGGGCATGCATTGCATGGCGGGCACCTTGGGCCAGTAGGACTCGGCGATTTCCCAGGTGGTGGCTTCTGGGGGCAGGATCTTGTAGTCGTGCTGCTGGTAGAAGTTGGGGGATTCGTGGGGGCCGACGGAGATGGTGTCGAGCCATTTTACCCAGCGGGCGCCGGCGACGCCGGGGGCAACGACGCGGACGGGGTAGCCGTAGGCGGGTTGAAGGGGTTCGCCGTTCATCTGGGAGTTGTGGATTGTTAGTTTGTCTATAAAATTTTAGTTATGATAATATGTGGAAATGAATTTCCTTACCTCCAGGGCTAGAATCACCTCCCTATCCAAGGCCATGGCTCTCCATAGCTCAATGCTGGCGCCATAGTAGCTGTCATCTTCACACTGCAGTTGATCGCAGGTAAAGGAAACATACATCTCGGGCAGCTTCTGACTACAAAAATGGCCGTTGAGCCCCTTAAGCCGGGTAACGGCGCCATTAGTCATTCCCTTCGTATTCTCAGCAACATCATCACTATTGGTCGTATATCCCTTCACGCCAGCCTTGAGCAGCACATCGCGCAACCTAGGACCCCTCCAGGCGCAGTTCATAATGGCGCCATCCATCCAGTCCAGCCCCACCACCTCCTTGAGCTTGGTGCGCATGGTATGGCGACGGTTCCCGGCGCACTGCAGAGCCGCCAGCACCTCATGCTGGGGGAAGTCATGGCGCAGCTGGTCTATGGATAGGCGGAGAGGGTTGGCGACGTCCCCACCGACGGAGACGACATGGGTGGCCGCGTCGAGGTCTGGGATGGCGCTGTGGTTGCGGTTGTAGGCATCTGGGGCCGGGGTGAGGAAGCTGAGTGGTGCAATATATGTTAGCTGGGTGGATTGTCGCATGTAAGAGGTTATGTGGATGTATGTAGATGTATGGTGATAGGCAGGTTTGTCGCAGCTTGGGTTGAGGTGATGCGCCACACAAAGCACGCAATCGGGGCTAGCAGGGGAACCACCAAGAAGGAGACGACGGCAATGCTGATAAATAAATGGACGGGGCCTTACCTAGACACCAGCTCACGCAGGGGAGCTTCACGGTTCAGGGGCTTCTCGGGCAGCGGATTGCGCGTCTAGAAGGGCGTTAGTTAGACGATGCCGGGCCCGATAGGATAGGATAGGATAGGATAGGATAGGGCTGAAGATGGAAGAATGATGATTTTGCAGCCGTTCGCAGTACATATGTTGTACACAGCAGGGAAACACTTACAGAGATCATCGTCGAATAATAATAATAATAATATCTTTTTCTTCCTTTCTTTGTTCCTATATTCCCCTTTCCCCAATACAATTTCTTTCTTTGATAACAAAATAAAAAATAAAACGTTGTTGATATCCCAACTCACCCAACCAGGTGGCAAAAGGCGGAGGATTGACTTGGGGAAAATCACAAAAATAAGCTCGGGCTCGGGCTCGGCCGAAAGGCAGTTAAATACTAACTTTATCTATCCGAGTAATAATAACTCCTTTCAGATCAACCACGCAATGTCCAGGCTGAAGCACACAATATACAGGCTGCAAGGGGGGTTCTCTCGTAATTGCACGGTGACTGTTGTTGTGTTTTTCGGCGACGATGGCGGGTGTGTCTCTTCCGTCCATATGTCTGTCTCTATATCTCTCTCCCCCGGCGCCGCTCGCGGTTATGGACGGCAGATCCTATTTTCCCCTCACCAGGACAGATTGTATCCATCATATCATGGTCTGATGCGACACGCTGGATGGGCGGGAGAAATTCGGCGTTTTGTATTCAGAACTAGGATATATATTGAAAGCCACAAGCAGCTTGCAGCTTTGCTTGGGCAGGATGTGTCAATCAGCCTACGAAAAAATATACACTATTCTGTCTCCTTTTTTATTTCCTAATCATCAACTCTTCTATCGTACATGTTACATACATTCATACACACATTCTCCTAGAAATACAAGCTAGCGTGCACCCTCCATCCCCATCTCTCCGTATATCCATCCATAAATGAGTCGGGATTCTTCTCTTATCTCCGCCAGACGAGACGGCCGATCCCACAGTGTTGGTATCAGAATCACTCCAACCCTTCCAAGTTACCCAATCTTTCAGAGTAACGAGGCGACGATAATCCCAAGAATTGAAGAAAAGAGGTAAAAAATAAAAATCAAAAAAAAAATCAAAAATCAAAAGGAACGCCCGTAAATGCACCCAAAACAACCCTCTAGATAAAACATTAAGCAAGAAAGCAAAGCTTAACGTATATAACCCCCCCAAAACACAACGCCAGTAAAAAAAGAAAGGACCATATCAGGAGAAACCTCCCCCAATCTAATCCGACGGCTGCCTCATCCACGCATCAATCGCCGCACTAAACGCTGCAAACCCAGCACACCCCAGCATTGCCGCCTGCGGCCCCGCCTTCGCCCCCAGCACCCCGCCGGTAATACAACCCGCCGCAACCCCGTTCGCCAGATCGTTCTTCGCTCGCAGCCCTTCAATGCAGCACTCCGTCCCGCTGAAGATGGCGCCGACGACGGCAAAGTTTCTCGCGGAGCTGTAGGAGCGGCTGCCCATGTCTTTGAAGCCACGCCGGAGTTGTTCGCGGACGGGCAGTGTGGAGAGTTCGCGGCCTTGCGGGGTTAGGGGGGTGTCGTAGGACATCTGGGGTTTTGGTTAGTGGGTGTTGTTTATTATGGTATGGATAGGGGGGGGGGGGGGGGAGGGGAGGGAGGATGGAATATGGGGTATCATGTGGTGTGGTGTGGTATGGACTATGGAATAACGTACACTGCTCATGAATAAACCAAAAGCACCGCCGAGCGCGAAGCCCATGCCGCCCGCCATGACGGATTTGACGGGGCAGGATTCCATTGCCGCTTGGATCTATTGCGTATCATAATCAGTTTAGTTAGCTAGCGGTCCTCCATATATATATACATCTATCCACATAAAGATATCCCATGTCGAAATAACGAAAGAAGAAAAGAAAAGGGCAAGATCACACTCACCGTCTTCACCATCGCGGCTTCCTGGCCACTCATCCCCGCCGTACTGGCTCCTCCAATCCCCATTCCCGCCGCCACCGTCGACGCGGCCGCGGAGCTACCCCCGCCGAAGCCTGGGAAACTCATCGTGCGTGATTGTGATTATGATTATGTATATTGTATTTTGTGTTTGCTACCCCCGATCGGACTGGGGTGTTTAGCAGATCCTATCCTCCGGCCGTTTTCGCTGGGGTATCCGGTATCCTATCTTTGCCGGGTACTTTGAGAATGGTTGTCCGGGTTTTGGTTTTTTGGTTTTTTTTTTTTTTTTCGATTCTGTATGGTATGTGAGTAACGAGGAATAGGATATTATAAGATAGGCAGATAGATTAGGAGAGTAGAGAAAGATTACAAGAGAGAGATATACAGCTGGCTGTATAATTAATTGCCTTCTCTCCGTTATCCAGACCCAGGCGCAGGTAAGAATAGTAAGTAATATTTACCTCGAGCTGCTCGTCCAGGTTGCTTGGTCGAGCCGCCGAGGAAAAAATAAAAAGTATTGATGCCAAGCCTTCGGGGATTACGGCGGAGTGGACGGGCATATGACGAAATGTCACGTGCTATTTACGGCAGCATAGGATAGGGCAAGAAAGTGACAATCTATCATCATCATTAAATAAAAGCTCCGGGTAAAATACTTCCCATAAATATATATACAGAAGGGAAACAAATACCTCCCCAAACTCATGTACCAACTTTGTCCAACATCAAGCTCACTGTACATGAACCAATATACACATAGAATCTAGGCAAAGCTCAACGCGCCACCGAAATCAAGGAAGTAAGGGTGGGAGGGAATCGAAGATGAAACTGGGAAACTTTTGGGGAAAGTAATGGTGAAAGTAGAAAGTAGAAAAAAAGTAAGAAGATATCACAGATAGAAAATAAATGAATGGACCACGTTAGATAGAAGGCGACCCGTGTATATATCTACATGGACAGAGAAAATTAGGCATCTCCCTCCTTCTTTTCTCCATTTCCTTCATTGTGTTGCCTGATTCGTGTAAAGTAAAGGGCCTCGTGGGTAGTTTATAAAAATATTCATAGAAAGAAGGTTAACAAGTAACATCGGATGGCTTGGGTTTGTGGTTCGTGCGCGTGGAGTCTTTTTTTTATATACAAGTTCTGTACAAGGTGTAAACCGCGGCGGAATATGGGCAGGTTATTTCATTAAAGGGGTGACATAGGAAAGAGCAAACAATGAAAAAAGAACCAAAAAAAAGTCAAATAGACATAAGAGACACGTTAACCATTAACCATTAGTCTTCCTTCGCGCCCCTGATGCTAACCCCGTTGGTTTCAGTTGCTTGTTGTTGTTGTTGTTGTCGCTCTTCTGGGGGAGTGAGGCTTCGCTCCCACTCCGCCATTAGGTGGGATGCCGTCCGCGTAAGCTTGGACGGGTGCAATCTGCTGAGCGCGGGCCACGGGATGCTGTCTGATATAGTCTTGTTGGAGTCTGCGCTTTGCTCGTCCTTAGTGGTCGGCGATGTGTGGTTCGTGAAACTATTAGATTGTTAGATTTGCTATCAAACAAGGAAGGGGTGGAAAGCAAAATCTCCACGTAGTTAGACAGGACTCGAGGTTTTAATTGACTGACCTTGAGCTAGTGCTCGGACTGCTGGCATCGGTGGATGGAGAGTGGTCTCGGTTAGAATGGAACGTTGAGCTGCTGGAAGACGGGGTGTGCGAAGCCTTCGATTGGCTGGGGGTATCCCACATATCCCAATTCTCATCTGCGTCCAGAAGGTTCGAGTCTTCTGGATCTTGCCCCTGCTGGGGCTGTTGTTTGCCTCTGCTGGGGCAGCTGGGGTTTTCGGCGTCTTGGGGGGACTTTGTTGTCCTCTGGTCAGGAGTATCAATGCCGAATTCACTCCAAAATGATATCTCTTGAGCTTTTGACGTTGAATCATTACCGGATGTTGAATTTGCATTTGTCACTCTGCCCCGCGGGGTTGTGGATCTTCCCGTCCTTGTCAAGGCTACCGATCCGTCATCCCTCTTTGAAGTTCCCCGCTGGCCAGACTGCACGGCGTGTGCGGTAGACCGGGACTCCGTGCCGTTGATTCCCTCCTCTCCAACTGTAGCCTGTCTGATGTCTTCAATGAACGTCCACAGGCCCTCTCTGAAATCCGAGGCCATTTGTCGACCTGTTTTCATAAGTACCTCTGCGGTCACGTCTTGAGCGATTGGTGGCAAAGTGCGGCGCCACTGGGCTTTTTGTTCTGCTGTGGCAGGGGCGGCGCAGCGTGCATTCGCGGGTTTTATACCATCACTGCGATCAACAGAGGGTAATGTCGCAGATCTCGGATATCTCGATGGTCGAGAACTCGCAGTTTGAGTTTGTCCGTCTACATCTTTTGGCTGAGGAAACGAGTGTTTCAATTCCGCATTGTTCATATTACCGGATAGCAATGAAAGCGTCCTGGTGTGTTTGGAGCCCCGGAAAACCGTCCTACCTTTCGCTGATACTGCGGGGGACGGAGGGTCTCCCGGGGATGAGGACTGTGAGTTCCTGTAGCCGTGTCTCCTATCTAGCTCACGGCTCCTCGCATGGGTCTGGTTCGCAACCGTCGTGGCCTCATCGGTCTGGGAAGCATTTGAACCATCCGGAGTATTGGGTTCGGGATGTTTTAGCGGCTTGAGGGGTTCTGCGTGATGCTGTATCTCGATTCTCTTTCTGTCTTTCTCCGCCAGAGCCCATTGGCGTTTGAGCGTCACCAGCTCCGCCTCTGCCTTCTGGAGTTCTTCTCTAAGTTCAAGGACTTTCCGCTCCTGGGCGGCCAAAGCAGTAAGAAAGTCATAGCCATTATTATTTGTATCCAAGAGCAGTGCTGGCGTGGAGATAGATGAACGTCTAGGGGAGGGAATGAGGGAATTCTGGGTCGCCGGGCTCATTACACTCGAGGCAGGGGAGAATTGGTCCGATTGTGTTTGGGAGAGGCCAATCGACGGCGAAACTGTAATTGGGAAATTTAAAGTGAGGCGTTTTGAGTGACGAGAAGCAACATTAGGACGTGCAGGGAGAGACGATCTCTTTGCCTGTCGTGCAGTTTCGAGGGAAGGCGAATGTCCATGTCCGTCATCCGGAGGTTGGGATGGTTGGTGGGCTGGAGCTGGAGCGGTCGAGGCCTCGTCCATGTTTGGTTCCCCGGATTGCTAAAAATCAAAAAGTATATAGGTATAGAGCGTAAGAATAACCAAAGAATGCCATTACCCCTGGACCAAAATCACATCAAACAATACAAAGAAGGACGAATAAACAAAACAAAAACAGGCCGTCAGCTCGTGGTGATAATAATAATAACACTCAGGGTTCATAAAGAAAAGGAGATTGTTTGATTGATCTTCAGGAGCTCAGGAGGCAAAAGCGACGAATGAGGAAGACCCGCTAAGTCCCGTGACACGGGCCAACTCGGCCGCTTCGGGTCTAGCGCCGCATCCGTTGAAACAAAACACGTGACAAACCCTAATCTATTTAAAGAAGAATCATCCGGGGAACCGTTATCGATTATCTAGATCTGTCTTCAACTCTCTTTGTACAGAGTACAGAGTCTTCTAATACTACCACCACGATCAGAGCTCTCGAATTGATCAAAAGTATCGGCACAGTTGGCAATTTGGCAATTTGGCGAAGCATGTCCAGCCTTCAAAGGCTACTAGTATATCATACCTTCACCCTGGAAGGGAAATATCGCGCACTCTGTCTAAATGGATCACAAATATCACCAAGAATGGCGTCAGACATGGAACATGCCGTATTTGCACCTACGTCCCCTTTTCATTCACATTTCGTACTCTGTACAGCAAACTTGCCCCCCAGCTACTCTAGTGTCCGGCGGAATATGAGGGAGCGAAATTATAGGGCCAAGCATGTCAAAACGTGCAATATCTGCCTTCTCGCAGGCCTCAATGGAAATTTTCAAGGGAGCTTAAATGTATTGCTGAGTGCTGTCCATTTGGGTGACAAGTATCCCGTCGCTCAGGCTTGTCTTTGACAGCTCTAGGAACACGGGTTACGGGGGGACGGGATCTCTACCTATGCAATGTTCGATGAGATCGAATTTTTATTCTTCTCGCCTGCTGTAGACAAACCCCATGATACAAATCGTCATCAGAATCCTCCTAGTCGTGGAGGAGTTTTCAAATGCTTCTAGTAATTTTGAGACATAAAGGAATAATAGGCTTGTTTGATATCTCGAACGCCTATATGGCAGTGGACAGCGTGTTTAGCCCATAAAAGGTCCACCAGCCATGAACTTCGCGCATGTGGTCTATGGTTGAGAGGTAGCTAGGAAGAGATAAAACTCAGTTTTTTGATTCTGTGTTGCCGTCGTGCTTGTTGGCTATCCGAAATATTGTCTATATAAACAACTCTATTATTGCCAATCCAGTCATATACTTTTCCAAGCACACCATCATCAGACATCCTTCTGGGATGACGGAAATCTCTCAGCCTGAGAGGGAGCCTGTCGAGTTTGATCTCCAATATATATATATATACATATATATTGAGCCACTATCTTATCTATAGGTCTACAAGTCTATCATATTTACCATAAGATCAAATCTTCATATCCGATGCTGTCTTCCCCTGCGGATCTCTAATCATAATATGCAGTAGTGCATACCCACCCCCATCCCCTTCAGCGTCAATACCATAGTCCGCCAGCTTTATTCGGATAGTGTCCACTGTCCGCCATCCCAACCGCTCATACAGTGGCATCCCCGCCGGCGTGGCTTCAAGGAAGATTCTCGCGTTCTCGGCGTCCGCCTTCTCGATACCCCACTTCAGCAGCCGAGAAGCGTGACCCTGGCGCTCAAACGCGGGACTCGTGGCTATGAGTTCAAGCACTGGTGTGGTGGTTTGAGGTGTCTTGCGTTAGAATCCCGCATCTGCATATGTATATATATACGCTATTTTCTACATACCGTAATCCTTTTCTTCATCTAAATACTTCTTCCGCCCAGCTACCATCTGCCGTAGAAGCTCAGTGAATAACTCCGGATGGGCTCCCGGCGGCGGGTTGTCCATGAGATATTGCTTCTTCTTCTTATACTCCGGTTCCACCTGTGAGCCACCAGCATCCTTCGGCTTAGGATGCGGAGTTGCAAACCGCGCCCAGGCGGCTACTGTCCGGACGTGAGTGTTGCCCGTAGCATTGCGATTGTTATGATGACTGTTTCTGTCGTGGCTATTGTCCGGGTATCCGGCGCTGGCACGGTCATCCCCGTTATGGAGAGCAGTGCTCTCGGCGACAGGAACGGAAACGATGGTGATTTGGTTCGGGTCTTGTAGATCCTGTTCCTCGCGATCTGTATACCATTTCTCGACAATGGCTTTGCCGCCGCCTTCCCATACAAACGAGTAGCGGGAGAGTGTGCTAGTTTCGAAGGCGTCGGTTTTGATCTTGCCGATTACTGGGGCGTCGGCGGGGGATGTGAGGCGCTCGATTTTGAACGACGTCATTTATTTTTTTATTTTTTTCCTTTGACAATTCTGTTGTCCTGTAACTAGGCTGCGTATGTAATGTAGTGAGTGATGAGTTCGATTTCAATGCTCTTCTTTTTCTTGATTTTTTCAAAAAGGCTGAAACCTAGGAACAGCTGGTCCGTTCGGTATGCCTCGGTCTCCAGAAATAGGCAGAAAGGGTTACCACCACGCCGCGGGGGAACAGGAATACCCGCCAATGTTCCCCGCCGTCTCTCAGGTATGCGTCATATCATACCCACGGAATCCTACCCTCTCGGTTTAGAAAAAGCGTGATTACGAGATCATTGATGATCGTCCTAAGCTCCAACTAGACTTGTCTGCACTATATCAAACTGACCATCGAATGGATATTGGTTGGTCGCTATCTTATCAGGGCCGGATCGGCGCCGGAGATCGATTTCAAACCCTCACGCGCCAGGGTGTGGTTTTTGGATTTCCAGCTCTATACGGCCATATATGTTCCCTGCGTGTCCGCTACCTGACTCTGCGCTCGGCACTTGAAGAATAGTGTATGTTTTGCAGCCGCCTCTCTGGTTCCATGTGAGAAGAACATTGATACATGCTTCCTACCTGTTCTAGATGATGTGCATGGTGGCACTGACTCATGGCTGCAAAGGTGCCACTATAGTTAGTACCGTGCTCTCGTTGCTACCTGACTCGGTCCGTGTAGGGGATGGATGCGCCCCTTTCTCCATGGAGAAAGGAGACGAAGGCGTCTATTATTCAGAGTGAGAACTGAAGTATTTAATACTCAGATAAATAACTAGCTGGTCCGAGGGGGGGTGTTGGGCGTCCCGGGTTGATCGGCCCTTCTACCAGCAGTGCGCTGGTGGTGATTGAGCTCTTTTGCCCCAGTAGAGTAGCCTACATCTTCGGTACTATGTATCCAACTCCCAGAAGGACACATGCCATTTCCTGGTCGCTTCTCTGAACATGCCGTTTACACAAGCCAACAGCGTTGCTTGGGCCTCTAGTCCAAGGCTATTGTTTCTCGCTTGAAGGGTTCAACAATACTAATTATGGCTGGCTGTAGGGAAACCAGGGTGTTGATTTACAACATCACAGCAGCCATAGGGTCCTTATTGGTGAACCTCGGGAAAAAAGAAAAATGTTTCTTCTTCCCCCGTGACACCCCTTCTCTGTGTGAAAATGATGGGGATCCTCTGCGAACAACACCTGCAACCTCCATCTCAAACAGGCTTCCCTGCCTCTGCAAACTGCTCTGATGGTGCCTATGCTCATGAAGGGCGCCGACCTTCTCTGGATAATCCAAGACAAGGGGTTTTCGCCCTCGTAAAAGCCGATTGCCATGGAGATGCTACTTTCCTTCGCTCCTCAAGGAGGGGTAAACTGGCTGTTGGGGACGTTCGGCCTGGTGCTGGGGGTCATTTTCTGCTATGTGAGAATTAATATCCCGAGCACTCAGATGAAGATTGAATATCTCCTAATTCATACGTGGGCACGAAAACAGTCTTCCATCACCGCTATCTATCGGCTTACACTCCATCCCCTCGCCAAGTACCCGGGTCCCTTCTTCTGTAAATTATCGGACTGGCCTACTCTGTTCAGCGCATCCAGTGGGAACCGTCACTTACAGGAATGGAAAGCCCATCAAAAATATGGTGAACGATGCTTCTGCTCCTTGAGGTTATACATTGCTCCTGTGCTTTCGGGTTATGTTAGAAACAGACTAACCATCGTGAAGGTCCAATTGTCCGGATCGGACCTAACACTATCTCGATAAATTCAGTCACTGGTTTCAAAGCCATACATGGGTCACGGCTTTCCAATGTTCGTAAATCAGACTGGTATCTCACGGTCGAGGGGGCAATTGGCACGCCGATGACTCAAACCATCCTTGACCGCCAAAAGCATGCATTTCATCGCCGTGTCTTGGACATTGCTCTCTCAGAGACTGCACTGAAATCAGTCGAACATATGATTGTAGAAAATATCCAGGCATGGTGTACACATCTCGCCGAAGGTATTTCGGAACCAGGCGACTGGTCCTCCCCCAAGAATATGGCCGAGTGGGCCACATATTTGAGCTACGATATCATAGGTGACCTCACGTTTGGGAAGAAATTTCACTGCATGGACAGTGGTGAGCATCGATTTGTTCCCCCACTTATACTGAATGCAACGAAGATGGTTTATCTCGTATGTTCTCCCTCTTGCCTGGTGATGTTATAGTCCTACTTTTCTTGCCGGAGATGAATTCTTCCATCAGCTAATATGGAACTTCCCCTTTCTAGATTGGCCTATCACCTTTGGCACCCTTTGTGAGACTCTTTCTTGGCTCTCCCATAATGAATGTAATTGGCGGTCAAATGGCTCGCGACAACTTGAGATACAATAAATATGCCGCCTCTCAAATGAAACAACGTATTACAGCCGAAACAGATGATTCCAAACCGAGTAGAAAAGATCTGGCACATTTTCTCCTAAATGCCAGGGATCCCCAGACAGGAAAGGGGTTCACAACGGAGGAACTTTGTTCTGAGAGCTCTCTTCTCATTGCTGCAGGTTCAGATACTACCTCCATTGCCATTTCTGCCATAATGTTCCACCTCTCCCGCAACCCCGAAGCGCTCGACAAACTGACATCCATCATTCGTTCCACATTCTCTTCCCTGGATGAAATTCAAGCAAAAACGCTCAACAACCTCCCTTATCTCCGGGCATGTCTCGACGAAGGTATGCGACTCTCGCCCGTTGTCCCATCTCACCTACCCCGCCAAGTTCTCCCGGGAGGCCTCAAAATTGACAAACACAACTTCTCCGCCGGCACTGTCGTCAACACGCCTCCGTACACCATAAACCATAACGAAGAGTACTATCCAGACCCCTTTTCCTATCTACCGGAGCGTTGGATCGTCGACCCGAACGTCGCGGATGGTGATATTAGCTCCGAGAGTAAGGTCGCTATCGCTCGATCTGCCTTCACAACGTTCGGTCTCGGTCCACGAGGATGCGCAGGGAAACGACTTGCGTATCTCGAACTTAACCATGCCCTTGCGCGGTTGCTGTTTTCTTATGATCTACGCGTCTCACAGACGAGCGAAACTTTGGGTGCTAGTAACCCGGACCATGAACATGAAGGGAGACGGAGGCCTGATGAGTATCAGCTGGAGGACTATTTCCTGGTGACGAGGTATGGGCCTATGTTGGAGTTTAGGGCTAGGCGTGAATAGGTTCATAGTCAGCCATGGGCTCTGCCAAAACCGACGGGATATTTGCTTTTTGTAAATTTTCCGGATGTTGAATGCTCCCACTATTTCAGATGTGTATAGGGCTGCGAGTTTTTATCTTCATCTCAAACAAAGGGACTAGCATGGTGAAGGATGGGAAGGCCTTTCGGTATTTCAAACTATAGTCCCGATATAATCTTATCGTTTCCGGGGACGTTGTTCCAGTTAAAACTATTTACGGAGCTTCATTCCCTTCGGTATAACCCAATCATGCCCCTTTCCTATTCGTTCTCGCTACGTTCCAAAGCTACTG